AAAGACATTCCAGTGCTCATGGATTAGAAGAATCAGCATTATCAAAATGGCCATCTTACCAAAAGCCAGCTACAGATTCAAGCAACACAATAAAAATCTCAGTGACATTCTTCAAAGAAATGGAACAAATGTTGCTGAAATTCATATGGAATCACAAAAAACCCCAGATAGCCAAAAAACTCCTGTCTAAGAAGGGTGAGAATGGCGGTATTACATGCCCAGGCTTCAAACTATACTACAAAGCCATAATAATTAGAAGGGCATGGTATTAGAACCAAAACAGACACACAAAACAATGGAATCAATCAAAAGCCACACATATGTGGTCAACTAATCTATCCCAAAGGAGCAAAGAATATGCACTGAAATAAAGTAAATCTCTTCAGTAAATGTTGCTGGGGCAAAATGGTCTGTCACATGCAAAAGAATGAAACTAGACTATCATCTCACATCATACACAAAAATCAATTCAAAATGAATAAAAGACTTGGACATGAGACCCGAAATTGTAAAATATATAGAAGAATACATAGGCAAAACACTATGACACAAACTTCAGAAACATCATTAAGGACTCATCTCAAGAAGCAAGAAAAGCAAAGGAGTATATAAACAGCTGAGACTAAATCGAACTAAAAAGTTTCTGTAGAACAAAAGAGACAGCAGCCGAAACAAAGAATTGGAAGACATACCAACCATATATCTGATAAGGGACAGATAGCAAAGATCTACAAAAAGCTCACACATTTCAACAAAAACAAACAACTCAAAGAAGAAATACAAATGGCCAATGGGCATATGAAAAATTGTTCATCATCACTTTTTATCAGGGAAATCAAAATCAAAACCACAGTAGGATATACCACACACCCGAGAGAATGGCCTATATTAAAAAAAAAACAATTGCTGGCAAGGATGTGGTGAAAAAGGAACCCTGTTACACTGCTGGTGGGAATGTAAACTGGTCCAGCCACTGCAGAAAACTGTGGAGGTTCCTCAAAACACTAAAAATGGATGGATCTACCTTGGACTCAGCTTCCTCACTCCTAGGAATCTGCAAAAAGGACACAAAAACACTAATTCAAAAGGAGACCTGCACTGCTGTGTTTATTGCAGCACTATTTACAACAGCCAAAATGTAGAAACAAAAGTACTTCATCTAAAAATAAACTTTAAAAATAAATACCACCTTTATGCAATAAAGGGGAAAAATTCTGTCCTTTTCAATTAAAGACTAATATGTCCTTGCATATGATCTATCCTGGAGTGTTCTGTATGTGCCCTTGAAAAATATGTACTCTGTTTCAAGGTTAGATGGGAACATTATATTTACATACAGAAGTCTTTACTAAATTATCCCAACAAACCTGAAATGATAGCCAACAAAACATGTCCTTGCTGAATTCTGAAAAGCCTCTAATAAAAGAAGTGCTCCAAAATAGGATGGCTTTGGACCTTATTATCACCTCATAAGGAGGCACCTGTGCCGCTTCCAAACACAGTACTATGCGTTCAGACCTGTTAAGTCAGCTAACGTATTATCTTTATTAAATCTTGTGAAGACAAATGAATCCCTGAGTGATCCTACCCCAACTTAGGGGAGTTAGTAATCAGTGGTTAGAATTCTGGGGCAATTGGTGAAAAGAGTTCTTACTGATTTTGGGGAATCATTACCTTAACATGTTTTCTCTTACCTGTGCCTGCATGGTTGCTGTGGCATCTGTCTCCAATGCAACCACTCTAAATGAGCCATTTCCCCCCTAGTAAAACCCCTTGCTGTCTGGTCAGGGCTCATTGCAGAAGAGTGGTGTGTATGAGATTGTAAAATCCAGTCAGGAAAGGTGGAATATTGGGGCTAGCCATCAAGAGAATGTGACTGCCTGTTCCAGCTGATAGCCAGCTCTGGGGCAATTGGAGACACCTCAACTCCTCCCTTGGAATGTGCATTATATAAACTTGCCACTTGAAATGCCCATATCCAGAAGCTGCTCCAAGCATGCAGCTTTGAGAAAACATGTAATGTATAATGTATATTTGGGATTATCTGGACTGCGTATGTGACTGGATGCTGTTGGTGGAGTGATGGAAAACTCTTAGGCCAAACAGGACAAACTCTACTAATTAATTTCCCTTCCTCATTAAAACTACTATCTACCAATCTGAAGTGGTCTGCCTTTTTTTGGATATCTCCTTGCCCTCTGCATATGGAGCCAGTTTTAGGTTATACCAGGGCAACCTTTCAGCTTACAACCCAACAGGTGGATTGTTATAAGAGTTGCTTGGAGTTGGTTGATTGTATTGTTCATGTTTTCTATCCTTTTTCTATCTTTCTAGTTTATCAGTCACTGAAAGAATATTCTTTCCAAGTGTAATTGTTGACTTGTTTCATTTTTTTTCCATTCCTTTCAATTTTGCCTCATGTCTTTTGGGGGTTCTTTTAGTTGCATATTCATTTGTTTTATTGGCCCTTTAAATGTCCCTATTGTCACTAGCAACATTTCTTTTTTTTAATATCTGTTTTCTTAAATACGTAATAGCCACTGAAACTCTTACCCATGCTGTTTGTATGGTCTATCTTTTTTTCCCCAAGCTTTTTCTTTCAGTGAATTTGTGTCTTTGCATTTCAAGTTTCACCTACATACAACATGTTTGGCTATATTTTTCATTTATTATTACATTTTAATGTTAATTTTTGATGTAGGTTTATATCTACTATTTAGCTTTTTTCAACATTTTATCTCTACATTTCTTCTAATCCTTCTTGACTACTTTCTTGTTAAAACAAATATTTTTAAAATACTATTTTAATTGTACTTGATTTTAAGATATATTTAGGTTTGGTTTTTTTTAAGTGGTTGCTCTAGGAATTAGCAACATGCATCTTTAATTATCATAATCTACTTCAAATAATGACTGACACAATTATGGTAAAATACAGCAATTTTGTACCACTATGACTTCATTTCCTCCATTCTTGTTTGTGCTGCTACTTTTATATATATATATCTGGCTATGACGAAACAGTGTTATAATTATTTTAAACAGTATTTTTAAAAGAAATTAGAGAATGTACACACACACAGTCTTATGTTTACCATTGTATTCATCATTTGTAGTGCTCTTCTTTCCTTCCTTTGCATCAGTTACATCTGGTGTCTTTTTTTTTTTTTTCACAGCCTATAGGATTTCCTTAAGTCTATTTTTATAGCAAGGCTATTAGGTAATTATCTGTGTTTTTGTTTATCTGAAAATGCTTTATTTAGACTTCATTTTTTTTTTTAAAGATTTATTTATTTATTTATACAAGCACTGGGTACAGTCAGAAGCGCGGGAGGGTGAGAGAATTCACCAGAGCCAGAGCAGGGAGCAGAGCAGGCAGAAGGACCAAAGTACACTGCTGAGGGGAGCAGCGGGCGGGAGGAGAGGTCTGCGCGCCATGTGGGTCCCTCTTCCAGTGGCCGGGGAGCAGCTGGCTTCGCAACCCAGCGCTCAACTGCTGTGCCACCGGGGAGGCCCTAGACTTCATTTTTAAAAGATAATTTTGCAGAATATAGAACCTTGATTCACTTTTTTTCATTTTAGTATTTTGAATATATTCCATTGCATCTTAACTTTAATTTCTGATGGTAAATCATCCATTAGTCATCATTATTCCCCTGTACATAATTTATTTTTCTCTTATTTTTAAAAATAGTTTCTGATTTTGACTTTTAGCAGTTTGATTCTGATATGTTTAGGGTTTGTTCTTTTATTATTTACTTCAGGTTTATTGAACTTTGATCTCTAAGTTAGAGTTTTTCATCAAACCTGAGGAGTTTCCCACCATTATTTCTTCAAATACTTTTTTTTTTTTAATCCCGTTCTCTCCTCTCTTGGAACTCCCTCTTCACAACTGTTGAAATGGTTAACATTGTCTTACAAGTTTCTCCAGCTTTGCTCCTTATGTCTGATTGTTTTTTTCTGTTCTTTATAGTAGATAATGTTTATTAACCTATTTCCCATATTTTCCCTTTCCTTCAATTCTTTATAGTTACTTTGAAATTCCTGTTAAATTCAACATCTGAGCCTCTCATTTGGTTTTCATTGATGCCTTTTCCTTTGCATGTCCAATATTTTGGTTGAAATCTGGCTATTTTAGACATATATGGCAGGAACTCTTTTTTTTTATGGCTTTTTGTTGCCTTTTTTTTTTTTTTTAATTAAATTGCCTAAGTATGTGGAATTGTCTTCCTGACAGCAGCAGTATGTCTCTCTGCTCAGTTTTTTAATTGTTTTTAACTTCCCTTCTTAGGAGTCAATACAGGTTGATTTAATGGGGAGTTATTTGGTCAGCGATTATGTTGGGACATGGTGAGCCCCTAAGATATACATACCTTTAACCAACTGAGCTGTGTTTGTTTGAGGAATGTATCCAGTGCTGCAGCCAGTTTTCAAGTCTTCCTTGCCTTTCATGTGCACTCTATTCTTGGGACTCTCCCTTGGGAAGTTCAATTGTCAGCCAAGGAATTGTGGAGAGAGTCTCTTAGGCCCTGTAAAGCTCATTCATTTCCTGAACTGGTCTTTACATTTCTGGCTGGTTCACATCTACCCTGCACTGAGTTTAACCACCCATTCCTGAATCTAGTCCAAACATCTGGGTTCAGGATTGCTGGTCTTTGCCTACTATCAGTTCTGAGGTTGGCAAAGTTAATTTTCACCCATCAAGTTAGTGGGGAAATGAAATAGCTCTTGGCAAGACTTCTGATGTTCTCAAGAATTAACAGTCTCAGTTTATGTCCTGAAGTTGTTTTTTACCCTTTTTTCCCAGTTTTATACTCTATACTACAGAAAGGAAATCACCTATCCTCTTCCTGTTGCCATTAATATGAGTCCCTCTTAGGCCTTCTTTAAATCTCCTAATTCTATGAAAGTAAACACTCACAGAATTCTGCTGGAACTACTTTTAAAATTCTGACCCAGAAGAATATTTGTGTGATGTAAGATTCTTTTTCTGTTTTCAGGTTGCATATGATGAAGCTACAGATGAATTTTCATCTTACTTCAATAGACAAACTTCTCCCAAGATTCTCATTACAACATCTGACAGACCTCATGGGGTAAGTACATCTATTAGTATAGTTCTTGAATTCTTAATTTCTTATATCACTCAGAGTATTAGAAGAATTCTGATCAGAGGAGTTAAATTATTAGTAATTATCTTACATAGGTGCTATAAATAAGCTAAATAAAATGCAGTTCTGATGACATGTTGTAAGCTAACAAAATATGATCTTCAGGATAGGGTTTCTCAACCCAGTACTATTAACATTTTGGATAACTTTTTTTATGGAATTATCTGTTCACTATAAATGTGTAATAGTATTCCCGGCCTCCATCTATTAGCTACCAGTAGCAGCTATATCCCCTCCACTACCACCACTCATAGTTACCAAAAATGATTTCACATATTGTAAACATACCTTGGGCAAAATTAACCCAAAACTGCATTAGAATGATTAGCTGCTGATAAAGGCTGAAGCATTTCAGATTTTATTCTTTCACTGGCATTCTCTATTTATAGCTCTATCTAATAGTAATCATTGCTCCTTTCCTTATAATTACATAATTATATAAGATTTTTATTTTTTACTTTTGAGGATTTTTGTTATTTTGTTTTACAGAGAACTGTGCGACTCTGTGAACAGCTCTCTACAGTTATACCAAATGCACATGTTTATTATAGAAGAGGACTTGCTCTGAAAAAAATTATTCCACAATGTATTTCCAGAGATTTTACAGATTTAATGGTTATTAATGAAGATCGTAAAGTACCAAGTATCCTTTGTTTTTTAAAAAGTTTTCCTGTGTCACTTTCATTCCTTTTAAAGATATATTTAAAAGAATAAGGAAATGATCCAGTAATTTCCAGTACATCATTTTTAAATCAGAAAGTATCTCTACCCAAGAGTCTATGAACTAATTTTTCCTTTTCTTTCAGCAAACATATACTGTTGGGAAGATATTATTTTAATCTTTAGTAAAAGATGCAAGATAAATAAGATAATCACCTTAAAAGAACTCATAACCTAGTAGGAGACAAGAGACATAAGTTAACAAAAATATAGTGTGGCTAGTGCAATTAAAGAGAGAACTACAGGAGACAATGAAGACTCTGCCTGGCAAAATCAGCCCTGGGTATATCAAGGAGGAAGGACTTGACAAATAAAGATGCATTAGCTCCCTCTAAATAGTTATAGTTATTATAGTTATAGAGATGAATAAGGCAAGGAAGAATGCCCACTATAGACAGATACCTTTTGGAAAGTAGGAATTATGGAAGAGCTGACCCAGTTGGGACTCTGCAAACAGTTTGATATGATTAGATTTCATCTTGCCAGAGGTAATATCACAGAATTACGTTTTCTTATTTTTTTTAGAATTATGTTTTCATATAAGGTATTTGAGCCCAAATTATATATTTGCTAGTGTTTCAGATACTAAGAATAATCTATCCTTTTACTATGAATGTCATGACTACTAATGCCTAAAGATACTAAAAGAGCTGTTGAGTATAAGAGTAGTGCCAAAATTCTACTGTCTAGAAAAGAACTTTATCAGCTCTATGTATTGTTAGCTTTGGGTCAGATAGACGCATGTCAAACAAATTAAGATTTCATTACTTCGCTAGTTTTGTGAATCAGTTGTCTTAGCCACTGTTTTCTTGTGTTTGAAATGTAGGAAGTAATACCTTTGGATTTCCCACAACAATCTCATTAAATCTATTATTTCTAAGTCATGTTGCCTGGCTGTGTAGGCATGTTAGTCAATGGTGCAATGGGAAGCATGGAGACATTCTGGACAGACATACATTCTCTATTATTATTATTATTTATTTATTTATTTATTTTTAAAGATTTATTTATTTATGCATACAAGAACTAGGGTACAAACCAGAGGTGCCAGGGTCAGGGGAGGGGGTGTGTGTGTGACAGGATTCACCAGAGAGAGTAGGGAGCAGCAGGACAGCCAGATTGACTGAAATACATTGTTGAGGGGAACTAAGGGGAGCAGCAGGTGAGTCAGGAGAGGTCTGCTGCACCATGTGGGTCACCTCCCTGGCCAGGGATCGAACTCTTGCTGCACTGGCTGTGGATAGCTTCACAGTGCTGCGTCAACCCTTTGAGCCACCAGGGAGTCCCCATTCTCTATTTTTAAATGGAATTTTGAGGCGGTATTTCTTTATGCCATATGCTGCAGCTTGTAGAGTGTTTTTGCATTCTTTGCATTCTTGAATACTAAATACCAGCTTCACCTCAGTCATTAGGATAGAATGCCTCTATACATTTTGAAATCAGGTAGCTGCCAGGCAAGAGTTTGGGCACTGGTAATCCCACCCCTGTTGAAATCTGCTGCCTGGTTCCGAAATTTGATCTGATTTACGTAACTCTTCTCAGCCTCTTCATTACTGAAATACTGTTAATGATTCCTGTTTTGCATTATTTGTGTTAGGGATTAGCTAACAAAGCTTTTTTACAATGCATGTATTCATAAATTGATGTTTAGGCTTTGTATTTTACTTTTGACACAAACCACAGTTTAGTGGGATTTTTTTAAGGAAGAATTCTAACCTTGATTTAAGTTTGAAGTAATGACTTTACCTCTCCTAAGCCCCTTAAGGATTTCATTTTCGCAATGAGCAAATGATACAGATGTACTTCTGACTATACCTCATGATGTTGATTCTTTGAATTCAAACAGTTATCGATAATCTGATAATGTGGCAGGCACTAGTTTCAGAGACAGATCTATCTTCCAAGAGCTAAGAGATTGATTGGGAAGAAAGGCCATGTACATGGTTATAACTCATACTAACAGCTGAGGTTTAAAACTTAATTTTGACTGTAAAGAGAGGTGGCATTTGAAATGGGCTTTATGGGCCTCCCCGGTGGCGCAGGCAGTTGAGCGCTGCGCTGTGAAGCTGTCCGCAGCCTCTGCAGCGCCGGTTCGATCCTGGCTGGCTGGCGAGGGTCCCACATGGTGCGGCAGACCTCTCCTGTCTCGCCCGCTGCTCCCCTCAGCAGTGTGTTTCGTCAGTCTGCCTGCTCTGTTCCCCGCTCTGTCTCTGGTGAATCCTCTCACCCTCCCGCGCTTCTGACTGTACCCCAGTACTTTTATAAATAAATAAATAAATAAATAAATAAAGTCTTTTAAAAAAAGAGAGAGAAAATGAAGTGGGCTTTAATGGATATTGCAGGTATTTCAATTAGAATGAGCAAAGATTACATAGTAGCATTTAATGTGTATGGTATATAACAGATTGTCAGTGTCATACTTATGTCTATTCTGTAGATGAGTCTCTGGTGAGAGTACTATGAAATTCACTATTGCTGTCAAGACTGAAGAAGGTATCTAGTTTGTTTGTCATGTAGGGCATTAAACTCTTACAATGCCACAGCCAAGTGCCATTGTTTATAACTTATAAGGCCTAAAATAAAACTTATTTGCAATCTGTGTTAGATGTACTAGCAATGGTAAGAGGCCATTTTGTATTTTAATAACATAGACAGAAAATCTCAAGGACTTCGACTTAGACAATGAGAGTAAAGGTAAAGAGGTGACAGTAAAGATAAAGAGGCTATAGATGTGAGGAACTTACGAAGATGAAAGCAGTAAATAGGAATTGCTGGGAGAGGAAGAAAATGAAGACAATCATAGATTCTAATTTGGATGAATGGGAGACTATTCATGCCATTATAAGAAGAGGGCAACATCTGTTTTTTAAAACTCATTGTATAGAGATTTAAAAGTCTGATCTCTGGCCTACTTTTTGAGGAATATTATATAAGTAGTAATCTTACTTTGCTACATCCAGAACTTGAAACATCGTTTGACTGCTAACTCTGTAGATGTCTTATACTTGTAGTTTATAGTCTAGCACAGTTCTCTGTTTGTAGTAGATAACCAGTAAATAGTTATTAATTGGGTGATTTTAATTTGTGGTACAGTAATCCCAATAGTAAGCACTGTTCTCTTGAGAAACACTAATAACCCTGACTTCAAAAAGGTAGCTTAAGACTCTCCTGTGGAATGATATTCAAAGCTGACAGCATATTCTGCCCTTGCAAATGTTAAAAAAAGTATGCATTCTAGGGGTTGTAAGACCATTTTATTATATCAATAATAAATTTATATCAGCAATTTTACTTGTAATGCTACATATTCTATAATCCTGTCTAATTTCTATTATGGTAGTGGGCATTATTTCATCTACTTAAGTTGAATGTCCTATATGCTCTGTTGAGGGTGTCAGCTACTTCTTACATTATGAAAAAGTAGGACTGTGGTTCCAGATTTTAGGGGCTTTTAGGCATAGTGCAGCAATTATTCAAACAATTTAAGATTTAGGTTACAAAATTCATTTGTTTTCTTAGTTTTTTGGGTTTTTTTAAAAGATTTTTTCTTTATCCATACAAGAACTGGGGTATAGGCCAGAGGTACAGGGGGTGAAAGGATTCACCAGAGGCAGAGTGGGGAGAACAGGCATATCTACTGAAATACACTGCTGAGGGGAGCAGTGGGACAGAGGTCTGCTGCACCATGTGGGTTAGCTTCCTGACTGGGGAAAAAAACTTATGCCATGGTGGCTGGCCATATAGCTTGATAGCTCCAACACTTTAACCCCTGCAGCCCCAGGGCGGCCCCCTTAGCCTTTTTCTTAACTTTATAAACAGATGGATTAATTTTGAGTCACTTGCCAAATGGCCCAACTGCACATTTTAAAATGAGCAGTGTTCGTCTACGTAAGGAAATTAAGGTAAGTTTTATGCATTCCTTGATTGGCACTTGTCTCTTTGCAGTACTTGGTTACTAGATGCTATAGATTACTGATCTAGACATTTGCTCTCCTGAGTAAGCATTTGTCTATTAGTTTTAAACTTTATTACTATGAAACATGTTGCTTTTCTACTAGGAATTTTTTTGGTGCATACACTGCATATTAAAATTATTTTGGATGCATCAGAGTTCATGGGCTTGATAAGCCATGTGGTAGTTTGTCATTAAGAAAGAGAACTTAAAAATTTTTCAAACTTACGTAAAACCTGGAACTTAACATTGCAATGACTATTTTGCCATTTAGCTTGCATTCATTATTGTGACTTCCCATTTTTTTAAGAGAAGAGGCAAAGACCCCACAGAACATATACCTGAAATAATTCTAAATAATTTTACAACGCGGCTGGGTCATTCTGTTGGACGTATGTTTGCATCGCTCTTTCCCCATAATCCTCAGTTTGTTGGAAGGCAGGTTGCCACATTCCACAATCAACGAGATTATATCTTCTTCCGGTTTCACAGGTAAGGAAGATATTTAACTCCTTGGACTTCCTGGTTTCAATTGTGAAATACATTTTCAGTATAAGCCTGTTTTCTAAAGTATGTGACAGGTATTGTAGATGAGGAGTTATCTTTTGAATCTTGTTATAACACTAAAGAAACAGTTGGGTCAACTGAGACTCATGTCCTTAATTCTTATGTTGTCTTTGAAGATACATATTCAAGAGTGAAAAGAAAGTGGGAATTCAGGAACTTGGACCACGTTTTACCTTAAAATTAAGATCTCTTCAGAAAGGAACCTTTGATTCTAAATATGGAGAATATGAATGGGTCCATAAGGTATGTACTTACTCTTTGAAAAGTCAGTTAGATAATTTTGAAAGTATCAAACAAGAAAGAGATCATGTACTTTAACTTTGGGGTGTTCATACCTTAAGTTCTGCTTCTGAATTTCTTCCCACATGAGCTAGGAAGAACCAATCTTTGGTTCTGATGATTAACTCTGGTTTATTAGCAGGATCCTAAACCTTATAGTGGTTCTCAGAGAGGAACTAACAATATCACAGGAACCTTTAGGAAAGCAAATTTGGGGGCCACAGACCTACTGAATCAGCAACACAGTGGAGCCAACTATCTAAGTTTGTTAGACCATGATTCTGTTGCATGCTTATTGAGAACTATTACTGTAGATGTTTTGTAAGTTTGGAGATTTTAAAATGGTAAATGAAAACCTCAGTATTTCAAAACATCTCATTTAAGCAATAGTTCACTTACCATTTTACTTTAAAATTAAATTACACATCTATGAAACAGTAACTTCATATAGACTTGATACAGACCTAGACTTGTCTCAGAGACAAACCCAATCTTTTTTTTAGCCCATAATGTTACCTATAGGTTGTTTACTAACTTATTTTCCCCTAATTTTCAGCCCCGAGAAATGGATACAAGTAGAAGAAAATTCCATTTATAAAATACTGAGGAGCAGTATTGGATTTTGCTGAACACCTATCTTGAATTGGTGACAGAAGACCATTTTCAAAAGAGCATTTCCTAATTTTTTAAACCTTCTTTCATGTCTGGACAAATTACCAAGAGCCTGCCACAAATTCCATTTTTGTTTATGATACAGCAAATACAAATAAAAGTCATTTTGGTGCAAGTTTAAAAGTTGCAATTTAGATTTCCTATCTTATTCTGGGTTATCTGTGGTGGTTGGAATCAGGATTCAAATCAACGTTTTTCCCTTTGCACTTTCAGGAAAAGTGGGTTGGAGAGATTTATGTGCTTGGTAAATACTGTATAAACTTGCATCTGGCATAGGGTTTTCACCATTTTTGAATGAATATGTTAGAGGCCATGTTTCTGAGATATTTTAACATTACCTTTAGCCTTCCAGAAAGGTAAAAAATTTTACAGCAAAAATTATTTACAAAGAACTTGAAGCAAAGTTGGGAATTACTGAAGGTAATCTTTGGTTCCTATTTTCTTGCTACTTTGTACCTCACTGTATTTCTATAATATTCCAGAAATTTCTCGGGTCTGAATTTTTCGTACATCTTCTAATGGAGTTCTTAAACAGTCTTTTCTCTATACAGCTGTTAGGAAAGCGCTTATGAAACAAAATACCTTTTAGGTGTAATGGTAATACCCCAACAAAGAAATTAGAAATATTTATTACTAAAACACAGCTTCCTCCTGACTTTAAAAGTATGTAATTTACCTTTAAATCTCTAGCACTCTTATAAATGTATGGCATAAAATCATGTGAGAAGACTTGGTGGAACAAGTAAGTGCTAAAGCTTTAAAACTCCTTATAAGAAGGGGGAAATTGTCTTTTAACTTACTTGTTCAAAACAGATTGATACGGTATATTTAACACCAATAATCAAACAAGAAACTAACTTTTATACTACATTTTTTATTGTATGCTGCTGCCAGTCTATATAAAATAGTTAACCTTGTGAAATAGAAATTCATGAAAATTCAGAGAGGTAGATGTTAAGAACCGACAAAAGTAGGAGTTTATATAGTATGGCACGTGTTACAGGGATAAGCTTTTTTACAGCCTCAAATTTAGTTGGCTTTCGACCAGTCACGGGTTCATCAAAAGTGGTTTGCAAAACCTGAAATGGAAAAGAAAAAATCAATTAGGGTAAAGGTCAAAGAACAGATTTTTCTGACTAGCATTACATCTCATCACTTTTAGGGCACTAATTTGAATGTCAGTTTATGGAAGAGATTTAAATTAAACTAAGCCTGTGTCCTAATTTTTTTTCATTTTAGGCAAACAAATCACACATATACATACAAATCAGCTAGGGAATGTCTATGGTGTAAATTTAGTAACTTTCTCTTAAATTTTAACCACCAGCCTGAATGAAGTATGTATAATTTATGTTTTGTAAATAACCAGACTTAATGATTTACAAAGATCACTTCCAAAACACATTCCACCATAACATAAAAATATATGTAAGAATCTCCTAAATTGAGAAAAATCTGAATATCCCTAAAAGTGAGCAAGAGTTTGGCAATAATTTACTAGGGTAGAAGATAATAGTTATACTATTTGCCCTGATAAGAAACATGGGTAGTAATTGCTAGTGGTGGTTTAATATCAAAAAAATGGCAATAGCCTAAATGTAACCTAATGGGAATAAACTAATATTTATATAGATGATGACACACAGCAACTAAACAATCTACATGGCTTAATACAAATATCAAAAATAAAGCAATAACCATTATGCCTTAATATAAAAAACCTGCTGCTTTAAAAACTATTTAAAAAAAAAACCCCAAAGAATTAAAAACATGGGTATACCACTTAATCTTTTTAAATACCAACAAAGTAGACAATTTAATTCAGGAAGGTAGATACATGGTTCATCTTTATACTTACATGATAATTAGATAATAGTCAAGAGATATGAACAGAATCAATGCTTACTCTCAATAATGATACTTGAATCAGTGCAAATTACAAAACAAGCAAGGAACAAAACAGCAAATAGGTTAAGATCTGGTTGGCAAGAGCTCAGCAAAAGAAGCACTGTCAAAGCTCCAAGTAGAAAAGCAAAGTACAGTGTAGGGATTATTTAATTTTATTTATTTTAAATGTCGTTTCTTACTGACCAAATTTACTTCTAGAAATTTACCTAAAGGAAACAGGTGGAGAGAAAATGCTCCAAGATACTGGCCTCAATCTTCAACTAATTTATAGTACAATCATTAAAATCTCATTTACAGAGAGTATTTAATGGGAATAAGAAAAGCATTAAGTGTTTTTAAAAAGCAGAAAGAAAAACTACATATTATGATCCTTTTTTTTTAAAAAACAGGAATTTTTTTCTCTTAAAAGGAAATATGTCAGTGGTTATTTCTAGGTGTGCTGGTCATAATTTCTACTTTCCTTGTACTAGCTGTTGCTAAATTATGCTGGTTTTTAATGATGAAAAGCCGCACTCAAGTGCATATTCTTTGTATCCATGCCCCTTAAGTGTGGGTTTAGGAACATCAGCATCAGTATAACCTGGGAACTTATAAGAAGTGCAAATTCTACAGCTTCACCCCAACCCTACTGAATTAGTGTCTTAAAAGATATATCTAAGTTTGGAATAATATTCATTTCAAAGCCCAAAGCATTTCAAATCATAATATCCACAAGGTGTTTTTCTGTACTGCTGGAATTATTAGTCATTTCTTTTTACTCTGAAATCAGATATATTTATAACCTTTAACAAATCATTCAACATCTGTAAATCCCTATGAAACTAGTAACAGAAGCCACCCAGACTTCCTAACAGTATTTTATCTTAGATGAAAATAAACCACTTTGTAATGTGAACACAGCAGAAACAGGTTTAAAAAAGGATCTTTAATAAATAAATTCAAAAATAAGAAATTTTGAAAGACTACTATAAACTCATACTTGCCAGAAGCAAGGAATTTATTCAACTCTTAAATATGAAGGTGCTAGACTACTAAAGAATTACTTCCTTATAGAAAACCTATTAGTCAAAGGTTGGTCGTCCTGTCCCCGTCTCCCAGAAACCTTAACCAATCATTTATTTTATTTACTGGAAACTTGTTATACTTATCCACAGACTTCCTGGACACTCCCAAGTCTACAAAGCTTAATTAGAGAGGGCACAACTACGTAAAATGGTATTTTAGGAAGCAGCTTCCTGGACTTTGAGGAGTTAGAATGTTTTTAAAGGGTGTGTGCCACAGACTTTTTTAAAAAGCATTATTAGTTTAATATTGCTTCTTACATAATATTAGTGACCACACTCCCTGTCTAAAGTACAGTGATTTATAAAAGGTAGCACACCTTTGGATTACATTTAAACTATTCACAGTATATTCTGGGGTTACCTCTCTTTTGGACTAACACGTTACTGCACACATTGACATCTGATCTGACAGGTTCAGATTAGCATATGTAAGTGTGCTTCAAGCCAGATAGTCATTTAGTTTCTTAATCCTCTGAAATTTGACTCACTGCCACCATGAACTTGTTTTATCATTATGTAACAAACAAGAATAAAAATTAAAATCTGTTATTCCCAACCACCAAGTCGGCCTATTCAACTACCTCAAATTTTATCTTTCATTCAAACTCCCATTTTTGCGTCACTGCCCTACTACTGGGTTAATCCAAAATCAACTGGTACTACTTTAAAAGTCACAAACTGCAGATTTAACTGTCTAACCATCTGCTGAAACTTGTATTTGGGGACCCCAAAATAGACCATTAGACCAATGCTATAAAAAGTAACATGGCTTGTCACAGCAAAGGAATTTTCTAGTAATCTACCCCCTTTATAGTTAGCAAATTCTCTAACCCTCTTTATGGTAAAATAGAAACAAGTAGTTGTCATGACTACTAAATCAAATTTCATCAGTCCTCACTTTCTCACAAGACAAAAGACTAGAAACTTAAAGAACCATATAAAAGTGTAAGGGTTAAACTTGGTCAATTTGTAAGTGCTGTGAAAAAAGACTTGACAAGTTGTATCTATTATGTGGGATGTTGTTTTAATTTAAGGAAACTTACCTTCCAAAAATTCATTTTACTACAAAAAGGAACAGACTTTCTGGGGTCTGAAGGGATTTGTACTTGAAGACACTCCAGTCAGCAAGGGGTCATGTTGAGCATTCTGCAGACAAAACTGTTTCAAATCTGCAGCTGCCTGGGAAACCTATACATAACAAAGGAAAGAGGGGGATAGAAGGCGATAATGTTTTAATGAAGGTTTCTCATGTCTTTCCAAATTACCAGCAGTAAATATTGCTCTTAACGCAAAAGGAAATATCACATGCTAATGAAGGCCAACAGTCACATACTGACTTCATACTTAAAACACTCCTTGTAAATATAAATATCACAGTCCCTGACTTAACATGGTTAAGAATTAAGATTTTCAACTTTAAGATGGTGTTAATGAAAGTTTTCTGAGAACATTAAAGGTAAGCTAGATGTATTACAGTGCATTTTCAAGTCACAATATTTTCTGTAAATTATATTTACTGAAATGTAATCCCATTGTAAAGACCTGTGGTTTGTAGTGTGTTCTATTTTGCCTGCTTATTAGAAGAATTAAATGATTCAGTACAAACAATACAATTTCATTAACCTGCAAAAGCACAGCAATCTCCGCTACTTTATTAAATGGCTCAATCAAGAGCAAACTTGAGGGTAATTAACATAATGTTTTTCATTAAAGCAGTACCTACGGGCCTCCCTGGTGGCGCAGGGGTTAAGAGGCAACTTATGAAACTATCCCCAGCCACAGCAGCATGAGTTTGATCCCTGGCCAGGGAGAAACCCACATGGAGCAGCAGACCTCTCCTGACTCACCCGCTGCTCCCCTCAGCAGTGTATTTCAGTCAGTCTGCCTGTTCTGTTCCCCACTCTGTCTCTGGTGAATCCTCTCACTCCCCACACCTCTGGCCTGTACCCGAGTTCTTATATGCATAATTAAAAAAAAAAAAAAACAGTACATACAATATTAGAAGTTAAACAATAGTGCTAAAATTCTAGCAAACTAATGCTTTGTCTTGCAGTATTACTGAAAAATTGCTACTGTAAATGATCATAATGTAGCATACTTAGCCTAAGATTCAGAAAACCAAATACTGTAAGAATATGTACTGAGTATAATGTTCTTGAAATTTAGAGTCCATATGCCCTTGCAGCTAAACTAAATCAGATTAAAAGAGAAATGCATTCATTCATTGAAAGATCTATTTGTATATTTTATGGTAAGGTTATTCAGGATATCAGAATTAGAAGGCCACAGAAGAAGTTCCTTAAGTCCTGTTTTGATGGCATTGCTTACAAAAAATGAAAATTATTAAATCACATTTAAGTTTCTTATAGTTTTTTAAAGGGAAGCTCCTTTAAAGTGCAAATAAACTGAGGTTTGCTATCATCCCTTTTCAGGCAAAGAAATGGAACAGCAAACTGTCACAGTCTAGTTTTTTAACATTAAACAGTTGCTGGGACATTAATACCAAAATAATGACTGGTTCAGATGCAGAACATGAAGAATGAAAAAATTTCCCAATAAAAAATCCCAAGTCTTGAATTGAGATTTAGGAAAATGGGAAAAATGACTAAATTATATTTTCAGTTTTAACTATTTCCAAGAAGAGTAAGGGCAGTTGTCCAGTCCAGCTGGGTATTTGGCCTCTGAAGAGCATCGCAAAAATTGCTCTCTATAACTAGAACCCCTGCTGATTACAGCTGCACCCTGAACCCTACCTAAGGATCCATCTCCCCAGGATTTAGTTTCCTCAGAAATTACCTGTATGATTGGCTTTTACCACAGTCCAAAGTAATGAGTTCCAAAAGCTTCTTTAGTTTCCATGTAAGGAAGCAGTTTATAAATCCTAGTACCAAATGCTGTGACAAATGGCTTCCCTCTCTGCCTCCAAAAAAAAAGTGTAGCTAAGGTGGGGGAATGGGTGGTACCATTTTTCCCAATGTTATAACTTCATTTTACATTAGCCAGTAGTAAGGTTAGTGATTTATCTGTTAATTTTCTGCCTAACATGTAAGGTAAATTTAACTTTTACAAGTTTCAAGCGTGACTATGTATGTGCCAAACTTAGTTCCAGGCACTGGGAATACGGATGAATTGCCAAGCTCCTTATGTTATGAAGCTTGACAATAAAGAGGAAAAGACAAGATGCTCCACAGAAAAGTGATCTGTTCCATGATCACAAGACCTAACTGAAGCTATCTGAGGAGTGACATTTAAAATGAGATCTAAATGACAAGAGATTCAGTCAAGAAACCATCAATGAGAAACTTATCTTTGAGAATTCCCGACAGGAGAGAGAGCTTAGACAAAGACTCTATAACTGGAACAAGCTGCTTGCCCCCAGGCCCTGTATTAATCACTATCCAGGAGGCTGAAACCCTACAATCCTGGCATAATTATTAGTGCCCTCTTTCACTCTCAAAGTTTTCTGATTGGTAATAAAGGGCATGATCTCCGGCACAGGGAAGTTTGTCAAGCACTCAAACATAAAGATTTAAAAAGTAAACTTGTGCTAGTTGAAAATACCACCCAAAAAACCCACATTTTGCAACCACGTGTAAAAAAAAACAACAACAAAAACTCATTTAAAGTTCTAAGGGCAGGGATGGGGGGGCCAGGAATTCCCTACCCACCTTACTACACTACAAGCCTAGCATCACACAAATTGAAAGTTTAAAGTCAAATCACTGGCGGTGGCTTTTATGATCCCAATCAGAAGCCTCCTAAAGAATCAGATATACAAGCAGCAACATGCTGCGGAGTTTTCGGTGGTTGTCTCCGGGTTTTCACAGTATCTTAGCCTTAGGTTTCAGAGTAATTCGTCTGAGGACTCTTCATTTTCTTTGGAAACTAGGGATAAGGAATCCTACTTACTCTCACTTTCAGCCAGCCCTTTCCTGCCTCCTGCCCCATTTCTTGTTTCCCAGGCCACGTCAATCTAAGATAAAGGCAAACTAAATAATGTAACAGTTGAAGAAATGTATGATTTCAAATTTCAGAGTTATATTCAGGCAGGACTAACCATAAACCAATAGGATGAAGTAAAAATGTGCAGGTAAGAGAAATGAATACCAATAAAGTATGCAGCACTTAACAGACTGGGAGGGGAATCCCATACGAAGACAGATGGGAATTTCCGTTCCCTCCCTAGGTGAAGACAAATAAATCCCTGACATTTCCACTTAATGAAGTAGGTAAATGGAAGACAATCTTACTCCACAAAACATTTAAGGGAGACTAGTCTGATGAATACAGAATCAAGTCATCTTGAAAACTGGTTGCTTCTGTCAGCAGAATACATGATTTCCATTCTTCAGTTTCTGTTTCCAATTACAAAAAGTGTTTGACGTTTGAATTGATCTCTTGTACCCCCAAGAAAGCCAATCCATTTGGGATTTTAAACTCAAAAGAAACTTGGCATAGGACTTGAATGCCTGATTGTCATATTAACACAACACAAAAGGCTTCTCCCCACAAGTAAATACCCCAAAACAAGGTCAGTGCTGACCAAATGCCAACATAAATTCAACAATTCCACCCTAATCACGTTCTCCGGCGTGCGGACCAGTAGATATCCCCAAGGTCAGAGCAAATCGTGCCAAATGGGAACGAAATACACGCTTTGTACGAGACTGTACAGGGCCCCGGAGGTAACCTCAGACTCCTTGAAAGTTTCACAAAAATGACTTGCTCCTTTATAATTTAAGCACTTGTTTTCAACGAGGCGTTTAATGCTTGAGAGGAGTTGGCGGTAATAATCTACCGCTTAAAGGGCCTGGGCTTGGGAAAGTCCTGACATGAAAAGTAAAAACAAGTCTCTTCTCAATCACAAGTCGGAGTCCCTGTCCCAGCCACAGCCAAGAGGGGAGCCTGGCGGAAGGGGCCGGGCAGGGTGCGGGCCGCGCGGGGCAGCCCAGTTGGCGCCCCCGGCCAGGCAGCGCAGCGGAGGGAAGGCGAGAGGGAGGAGGAGCGGAATGCGGGAAGCCGCTGCCCAGCTGAGGCTGAACAGTCCAGGGGCGGAAGGGCGCACCAGCCGCTTCCCTCCAACAACAGCGCCGACCCGCGCCGCTTCCCTAAAGCGGGCCGCTCCCCGCGCCGCCGAGAGCGCCGGCTCTCCCCGGGGGAAGCCGCGCCAGCCGGACGCGGTCCCCCCCAGTCGCGGGTCCCCCCCGTCACCGCCGCCCGACACACCCGCCGACGCCGCCCTCCCTCCCCCTCCCCCTCCCCTCGGCCGGTCGGCCACCCCAGCTCACCTTCACGCGGTTGAGCCCAGCCTCCAGCCGGAGTTGTTGAACCACTTTCTTCATAGCCGCGACGCTGGAGGAACCAGACATGGCGCACGCGAGAGCCGGACCGATTCGTCTGTCGGTCGGTTGGTCGGTCGGCGGGGGCCAGACGGCGGGACAGCGCGGCGGGGGCGGGGCTCCGAACTTTGTGTCTAAGTTTCCGGTTCTTGGCGGAGCCGTCCCACCCTCGGTGCGCATGCGCGCGCGCCGTCCTGCGCTCTCGGTCCCAAAGCCTCACCCCCGCGGGAGCGCGAGCCTGAGGGAGGGGCTGACGGGAGCGAGAAGGGGCGGAGCGGAAGGTGGGCGAGGCCCCTACCGGACGCGGGAGCGGCGGGACGCCCAGCCTCTCCTCCCTCCCTCTCGGGAGAGGCTGGCTCTGTAGAGGTAAGGGAAGAGCTCGAGGCCAAAGAGGGGCGCTGAGGAGTCGGGGGAGGGAAGTCAGATGCTGGTGGCGGGGCGACGGGGAGGTCCCCCCTTTCTTGGTGGTGTTGGCGGCGGGGGGGTGACCGAAGAGGAGGGGAGAGCCCGGCCGAGGCGAAGGCTCGAGAAGTACCGGGGCGCAAGTCCCCCCATCCCAGTCCCCTTAGCTGTCTTGAGCCTCGAGAGTTTGTCCTACGGGCGTCCCGTCCGCACCCCGCTTCCCGGTCGCCAGACCGGGCCCCCCAAGGCAGAAAGAGGGTGCAGACGGGACAGAAACCGCCGGGGGAAGTCGGGGGCCGGGGAGCAGTGGCGCTTCTCTTCTCGGGGTTTGGCTTCGGTGACCTCTTACCGGTTTTGTTTTTGGGGAGGGCTGTGAGGAATCCAGCACGATGGTGGAAGTTTACACCCGTCGTTCTTGGTGTCCATTTCATTTGGGGGTTAACACCTGCTGTACTTCTAAAAATAAAACTTTGTGCGTCGGGAAAGTTTGTTCTTTTATATTTCGGTTGTAATTTAGTACATGCTACTTGAAATTATCCCTCAAAGGAACCTTCTGGAGAGACGGGAGGATCTAAACCAACAAAATCGACTCAGCCCATTAGTATTTCTCCCATGAAACCATGTCACAGCCCTTAGGACAAATGTTTCCTATTCTCTTGGGTTAGTCCATCTCTGAATACACCACTGTTTTCTAGAAACACGAATAATTCTGTTATTAATAAACTCAAATTGTGTGTATAGTGAGAAAGTCCATTTACAACTTGATCTCTGTCAAAACCTAATTTATTTACTAAAACGTTTAAATCATTTCATAAAAATGTACAATGTAGTTTAGTATTGTACTTAATTCATGTAATAGATTCAATGACTAGAATTAGGTTATAAACCAGAGTTTGAATTATGCCTCTATCATCTTGGTATCCCTGGACAAGCCACATATAAACTTCATTGAGCCTGTTACCTTATTTCAAAATGAAATAATAAAGCTTACTCCCCAGAGTTGTTTTTGAGACTGAAGTGAAGTCACGTTGTATATAAAGAAAATGACAAGTATCTCAATGTCATTTCTTCTTCCCCAGTCGCATTTTTGTGTTAGTGCCTTGTTGATTCATTCATAACAGCTTTTTTAAGATTAAATACCTTTACTCAGAGTGTTCCATTTCACAGGAGGAGTTACAGAATATGCCTCTTAAGAATCATAAAATATTAGTACCAAAAGGAATTTCAGGTAATATGTATGTAATTGAGTCCCCTCTCCTGTGAGGAAGAGTGTTGAGAAATATGCAAAATCTATAATGTTGTACATTTAAACATTGTCAGAAAAAATTTAAAAAGGTAGTGCAGAGAGACAATAGTGTCTACTAAAGGACTCATTTAAGACAGGATAAGAAAAACACCACTGAGTTCATTTTTAGTATCATTCCATTAGAAGTGATTAACAATACAGTTTATGAATCATCACTATCTCCTAAACAAACCATGTTCTTTGACATTATACAAAAACTTAATAGCCACACAGACACAGAACTTCAGATTTCCTATGGTTAAAGATTGTCTGTTGTAAAAACAATTTGACATCAAGAAAATCTTATGGCAATGAATAGCAAGGAAACAACCAAGAAATCTGTCATTTCCTGTTTTAGCAGTGGAGCATAATCAACTTCAACTTTTTTGGGATCTTTACCTTATTGTTAGTAACCCAAGTTCTTTAGTTCATAGTTTCTAGGGACTATAAAATTCATAGGAGATCTGGAATGCCACTAAGCTATTTGAGTCTTTTTACCTAAAACAGGAAACCCTTTAAAATACATTAGAGGATTTCATTTACATATTAGCCATGAACTGAATTGAATAGAACTCTCAGGACATATGAAACCTGAATTTATCCTGGTAAATAGCACTCATACTTTGGTGATTTAAGAATCAGGCATTATGTCAAGAATTTTAGAGTTGTGTATGATGTTAGAGTTCAAGCCACTTTGCAGAAACTGAGACTTAGAGTGAATGATGATTTTATAGGTTATACAGGGCTAAAACCTGCTTTTCTGCTCTCAATCTCATTACTTTGTGCCGGATTCTATATTGTTAGTGTGTTTAAACAATGCAGTTCAAGTTTCTAATGTTAGCATTTATTTGAAAAATCAGACATTCTTAAACTTGATTTTCAGCATTGCCACTCACCCAAAATCATTTTGGGATAGTGCAGAGAAAACATGGAAGTTAATTTTCCTTAGAGACTTGATCGGAGATGACAGATAGCTAATACCCCTCCCATATCCACAGTAGACTATGATAACCCATTTCTGCACTGTTTCTTACTGAGGCCAGATGTGACCTTGTGATCCTTTCAGTAACTCATTTTTTTGGTAGTCTGTACCAGTAGATGGGATTTAATATGCCAGATAAAAACAATTTTCCATTCCTGGCACGGGAGTTTTATAAAGCAAAATTATGCAGTAAATGAGAAATTAGACTTCTGTAGTCATTTCATCTTTGGCAGTCAGCTTTTGCTTGAATTGTTGCCATTATTTTGTCCATTAGCTTGTTAATAATAGGTAAAGAATTTGAAAATCCCATATTATATATAAAGAATTTGTATGTGAAATATGATTTGATTAAGATCAACTGCAATTTCTAAACATGCCTACAAAGGCATAGGAAACCTTTTTTTGGTTTTCATAACAAAAACTACTCAAGTTATGTCCAGCTATCAGGAGATTATTGTAAAGATTAGCACAGAGCAGTAATGGAGACAATACTCCCAATGAATAGCAACTGTTAAACTGGTAGACCAAACTAGGAAGTAAATACAAGATTGGGGACCACAGGAGCAAAATTTCTGGACTCTTCTCTCCAGTGCTTACCTATAAACACGAATCATCTATGTGTGGTCAGTTTGTTTCTCAGACCTACCAGTTCACTTAGCCGTTTCTCTCTATTCTTTTCTCTCTTTTCCTAGCTGTTTACAAATAAGTACAGCTTTCTCATTGCATAGGCTTACCTCATTGCTGTGATTACAACTTCCTGACTTTACCTTTGTATCGTTCTTTTTGCTTCAATATCTGCTAATGCCATACTTGAATTCTTCTCACAATTATAATGCCTATGATCTACTCTTTTTAAAAAATACTAAATTTTTAAAGAGCCAGGGCATTTTATTTGTTTCTGGGCAGCCCAGGATTTAATCTCAATATTGATTCAGTCTGTGCTTTTTTAGAGATGAATGTTAGTATAATGGCAGAAAGCCTTTGAGTAGATACAGAATATCTGAGTGTTTTCTTAATGTAACATATTTAAAATAGTGCTTGAGAGAGTGGAAATGACAAGTCACACTTTAAGTCACACCTTAAATTTTAATTATATAAGAAATTGACACAGGCAGTAAATGTGAAACAAATTTGATTTAGATTATATGTCCCAAATGTAATATTTAATTCTGATACCATTTAAACAACCAGTGGTCTTGCAGGATTTCATGGAGATGTGACTAGTACCATATCACAGGAATTTTAAGGCTTGTGGATTTCAATCACTATTTTAATATAAACCAAGGTGGAGCAATGTTTTGTAATCTTCAAAAAGCTTCTGGCATTGGTGTGATTAGTGTATCTTTTAAGAATTGTCCCACTTTGATATATTTACTTTTAGAGTGATAATTCAGCTAACTTATTTTTCAAATTTTAATTAATTAATGAATTTATACAGTTTTTCAGATTTTATTGTGCATTCCTATAAACTCTGTAAATTCCCTAATGAAAAATACAGAAAATAATACACAAACATAGTCTGATGTAGTTAAAGAGTGGTGTTTCATCTGGAATGATTGTTCACATTTATTATTATTGAGGCATCCAAGTCCAGGGAGAAATACATATAAAACGGTTTACCCTATAGCTGTATAAATTCAGTCTTTGTAATTCAGCTGTATAAATCCAGTCTCAGGGTATTTATACTTTATGTAAAGTATATAGATATAAATATATGTATGTATTTTTGACTACAAGAAAAATTGCCCTGATCACAAGCCCATTATAATGTGACTTACCACTTCACTTAGTTGTATAGGATATATGTTCAAGTCTTTCCCTTTATCAGCCCTTTTTTCTAATATCTTTTTTGAATTAGAATAATAGATTGTATATATTCCTCGGTTTATTTTAAGTTTTTTTTTAATTGAGGTAACACTGATTTACAATATTGTATATGATTTAGAGACACAGGATCATGGCCTTTAGTAGTATGTTATTCTGGCATATCCGCCACCAAGACAGTAAAAGTCTGCCACAGTCCATTGTGCCCCGTCCACACTTGAATTTATTATAAATTCTTTTATGTTTTTCTTTTCACTTTTTGAACAAATCAGAGACCAGAAATGAGTGGAATCTATTTTAAACAAGCCAAAAATCTGTTATAACTTTTTATTAAATGCTGCTTAAATGAAGAAAGATAAACAAGTCCACAAAATTCCAGCTGATAATTGCCCTGACCAAACATTGGTGAATATGTACCTCAATCCAAGTAGACCTTCCTCAACAGAGGTAAGAAGATAACTTTATTATGAAATATAAGAAAACCTTAATGTTTTTGAAAAGTTTTGACAAAACTATAGAGTATATATAAGGTATATATTGAATCTCCTGTGAGCCTAACTTTATGTATTCCTTTGTCTGATTACAGCTCTTAAATCTCCTCTAAGAACCTTAATTGGACTGGGACCACCAATATATTAATCCACTGTGTGTGTGTCCTCTACGGGTTGCTTAGATTCTATAAAGCAAACACATTACTCTCTTGCACATACTTTTGACTCCTTGTCCCACTCTCATTTTTAAGGCACTCAATTGCAAAACAAAAACTCTACCTACTCTTTACTACCTTCTTTCCTTCCTTCCTTCCTTCCTTCCTTCCTTCCTTCCTTCCTTCCTTCCTTCCTTCCTTCCTTCCTTCCTTCCTCCTTCCTTCCTTCCTTCCCTTCCTTCCTTCCTTCCTTCCTTCTTCCCTCTCCCTCCCTCCCTCCCTCCCTTCCTCTCTCCCTCCCTCCTTCCCTCCCTCTCTTTTCTTTCTTATTTATGCATACAAGAACTGGGGTACAGGCCAGAGGTGCAGGGTGGGCATGGAGGGGGTGAGAGGATTCACCAGAGACAGAGTGGGGAACAGGCAGATAGAATGAAATACACTGCTGAGGGGAGCAGCGGGCAAGTCAGGAGAGGTCTGCTGCACCATGTGGGTAGCTCGCTGACTGGGGATCAAACTCATGCTGCAGTGGCCTCGGACAGCTTCATAGTTTGTGTCTTAACCCCTTGTGCCACCAGGGAGGCCTACCATTCTATATTTAAAACTGAAAACTACTCCCTCCCTTTCCCCATTTTTCCTTATCATGCTCTATTTTTTTTTCTAGTAGTTGCCATTTTTGAATGTACTATATAAAATAGTGCTTTATACTTACTATTTACTGTCTGTACCCCTTACAGAATGAGGACTAGTCTTAGGCAAATGACATTTGCCATGGGTTCAAAACTTAAGGTGTCACAAAAAAACTCAGTAATCAAGCTAAATATTTTAATACCGTATTTTCTAAAAAAAAAAAAAAAATCAAAAGTCCATGATGATCAAAATATCAACAGAGACAGAATCCCACAGTGCCATGCCTAGACATTTTGGAGCCTGAGGCAAAGGAAAAAATAAGTACCTCTCTGTGACTTTTAATATATTCTTTTTTTTTTTTTTTTTTTTTTTTTTTTTTTTTTTTTTTTTTTATAGAGGCATGCTTTATTTATTTGTTTGCTGGTTTGTTTGTTTGTTTTGTTTATACATGCACTGGGTACAGTCAGAAGCGCGGGAGGGCGAGAGAATTCACCAGAGCCAGAGCGGGGAGCAGAGCAGGCAGAAGGACCGAAGTACACTGCTGAGGGGAGCAGCGGGCGGCAGGAGGGGTCTGCGCGCCATGTGGGACCCTCCTCTGGTGGCCGGGGAGCAGCCGGGGATCGAACCGGCGCCGCAGAGGCCGCGCGCAGCTTCGCAACCCAGCGCTCAACCGCTGCGCCACCGGGGAGGCCCTTAATATATTCTTTAAATGATTATTGGTTTCATAAAAATATTATTGGTGAGTTTGCATCCATTAAAGCCAGGAAAATAAAATTATAATAAATTCAGGTATAAGTAGAATATTTAGCCTTAAAATAATGGCATGTATTTTAATATATATGTACTTAAATTTTTCAATATTTTTCCAACAACTTTGTGTTCTGGAAAAAATTAGTCATAAAAAAGTGTATTTTTTTGAAACATATCTATAAGGGTTCATTAGTTTTCCTTTTTCCTCAGGTTCTAATGTTACTTTTCTGTATTTCAGCTTTTGTCATTTTATTCATCGTAAACTTCTGGATTGAATAGATTTTTAATATATTGATTTAATTAAGTTAAATTTATTGTATTGAATAATATATATTATTTGTGTTGATTACTGAGGTTTTTGGATACCCCCTTAAATTTTCCACCTGAATGGAGTGCTTCACTTGCTTCATCCTTGTTCTTGTCCAGATACCTCATTAGAATGTAAATTACTTACAGGCAAAGATCTTTGTCTTATTCATTAATACATCCCTAATGACTTGAAAAGGTTGGCATATAATAGGCACTCAGTAAATATTTGTTAAATGAATGAATAAATACAAACTCACCATAATTAATATGCATCATAAAATGTTTGAAAGCTGAGAGATGCTGTTGGTGTACACTTTCTTTGTATTGCCTCCTCATTCAATTGTTGTATTAAAATTTATACAAACATTTTGTATTGTGATTCATGAATTGTTATTAAAAAAATCAAAGTAATTTATTTGGTTTATTAAAAACAGTAAAATATTTAGTTCAAGAAGTTTTTTTCTGTAAAATAATAACATTTATATAAAGGATAAGGTCATATTTGCTTCAAGCTTCTTAAGATTTTGTAAATATTATAGCATTAGTACCATAGTATAGTATTATTTATAATATATACTATAGTATAACTAGGGAATAATTTTAAATGCTCTAATGTTCAAAATGCACGCAGCATATGGCAAACTTCCTATCGGATCTCTACGAACATCTTAAATTGTTGGTTAATATTCTGTCATCAAAATATAAAAGGAATTTACTTGATCTATAAAAATAACTTGAGCAAAACATTCAGTTCAAGAATCACTTTTATCACCTATGAAATTACTAACTACTAACATGAATAATAGGTCACATTTATTTCAAACTTTTAAAGTTTTAAAATATTTAGTATTTTCACATATTAAGTACATAAATGTATTATCATTTAAGTGCTTATAACTTTTAATATGCTATGAATGTGAAACTTCTTAAGACTAAAAGATAATACTGTATTTCTTATAATTGTCCTGTGTCTGTTGTAATCTATATATTCTTCTAAATACAAGAATTCTATTTGAGGTCATAACAAATCATTAATGCAAATTAAGATATCAAATATAAGCAGAGACAAGCTCAAGATATGCCCTATGTAAGAACGATCATTCCTTCCCCCTTCACTGGGGGATCTATCTATAGTTTCACTGATCGTGGAACTATCAGTTAAATACTGTTTCAATAGAAGTTGTTAACGACTTCATTTCAGCTGGATTTATAAGGCAAGTATTTTGTGGTCCTATTACAGGGTGCCTAAAAGAGCATTCTTTACTTCACAGGGACTTCCTGGAATTCTGGGAAACAAAAATATTGCCAAAACCACAGTAGTCACACTTTTGCAGGTGCTGAGAATTTGCAATTATCACAGCTGTGTTAGGGAAACAGTAAAAGATCCTAATAACCTAATGGAACTGAGTAGGTAGGATGCAAGCAGGGGGAAAGAGTGGTGATAAAGAAAACTGATTTTGGTGGTCTACCATTCTTAGTGCAGGTAGCAGAAAGAATACTGTATGTGAGATGTTAGCGTAGCCTGGGACCACATCTATGACATTGTTTGCCAGGGAAAATGTACTCCAAGTGCCAGAGACCAACTTAGGAATGGGTTTTTGGCTCTTTTTTCTGTTTTTTGTTTGGTCAAAGGCATATATGTGTTCCATGTTGATTTTGATTATGTTTCTTAAAATTCTAAAGGTCGTCAGTTGATTTTTTTCATTTTAAAAATATTCTGACATTCTTCTCAATTTATTCAGCTGGTGGAACTTCATGTTTTTTATGTCCCTGAAGGATCGTGGAACTATCAGTTAAATACTGTTTCAATAGAAGTTGTTAACGACTTCATTTCAGCTGGATTTATAAGGCAAGTATTTTGTGGTCCTATTACAGGGTGCCTAAAAGAGCATTCTTTACTTCTGCAGAGAAAAATGCTTTCTGGAAATTTGAAAATTATTTGTGAAAAATATCTTGTCCTTTTGGTGGATCCAGTTAATAAATACTATCTATACTATTGAATGAATGAGTATTGTCAATACTAACTTATGAATACTATTAATAAACAGTTCCATATAGTTAGATCAAATAGCATTGTAGGAACAACTGTCACTTAATCATCGTATTGCCACCCAGACCAAAAAAAACACTAAGAGAAAATTATTTGAATTAGAAACCCGTTAAGGAGCTGTTGGAAGTAGTTAAACCAGAATATCTACAGTGACTTTTTCCTGAGCTGTTTAAAAATGGAAACAATATATGTAAATGTATTACAAACATCAACAGATACATCAAGATTGAAATCATACCAACCATCTTCTCTGACCATGAAGGCATCAAACTAGAAATAAACCATAAAAAGAAGACAAGGAACTCTCCTACCTCATGGAGATTGAAACCCACACTACTGGAAGACCACTGGACTAATGAGGAGATCAAAGAAGAAATTAAAAAATTCTTTGAGTTGAATGACAAGGAGGACACCAATTTCCTAAATGTATGGGATGCAGCAAAAGCAGTAATAAGAGGAAAATATATAGCAATAGAGGCTCATATCAAGAAACAAGAAAGAACTCAAAGACACAACCTAATCTCAAAGCTCAAAGAACTAGAAAAAGAACTAGAACAAAAAACCCTAAAACCAGTAAAAGAAAAGAAATAATAAAAACCAAAGCAGAAATAAATCAAAACTAAAAAAAAATCCAAAAGATCAATGAAACCAAAAGCTGGTTCTTCGAAAAAATAAATAAAATAGACAAATCCCTAGCCAGGGTCACAAAGAAAACACGGGAGAAAGCACAAATAAACAGGATCACAAATGAAAGAGGAGAAATCACAACGGACACAGCAGAAATCAAAAGAATAATCAGAGACTACTATGAACAGTTATATGGAAACAAGTTCAACAATCTAGAAGAGATGGACAAATTCCTACAACTCTACAATCACCCAAAGCTACATAAAGAAGAAATAGAACACCTAAACAGACCAATTACATGCAGTGAATTGAAATGGTAATCAAAAACCTCCCCCAAAACAAAAGCCCAAGACCTGATGGATTTACAAATGAATTCTACCAAACATTCAGAGACAAATTAGTGCCTATCCTTTACAAACTCTTCCAAAAAATTGAGAAGGAAGGGATAATACCAAACACATTCTATGAAGCCAACATTACACTAATACCAAAACCGAACAAGGACAACACAAAAAAAGAAAACTACAGGCCAATCTCTCTAATGAACACTGATGCAAAAATCCTCAATAAAATTTTAGCTATCAGAATCCAACAATGTATCCATAAGATAATTCACCACCACCAAGTAGGATTCATTCCAGGAACACAAGGATGGTTCAACATCTGAAAATCAATCAGCGTCATCCAACACATCAACAAAAAGAAATATAAAAACCATATGATAATATCAATAGATGCTGAAAAAGCTTTCAACAAAGTACAACACCCTTCATGATAAAAGCCCTTGAAATTCTTGGGATACAAGGAACATACCTCAACATTATAAAGGCCATATATGACAAGCCAACAGCCAATATCATTCTCAATGGTGAAAAGCTGAAAGCATTTCCATTAAGATCTGGAACAAGACAAGGATGTCCACTCTTACCTCTGCTTTTCAATATAATACTGGAAGTCCTAGCCAGAGCAATAAGACAAGAGAAAGACATACAAGGAATCCAAATAGGAAAAGAAGAAGTTAAACTATCACTGTTTGCAGATGATATGATAATATACATAGAGAACCCCAAAAACTCCACAGAAAAACTAATTCAACTAATCAATCAGTTTAGTAAAGTGGCAGGATACAAAATCAACACACAAAAATCAGTAGCCTTCCTATGCACAAACAATAAATATGAAGAAGAAATTAAAAAAAACATCCCTTTTATTATTGAAACAAAAAAAATCAAATACTTGGGAATAAATCTAACAAAAGAGGTAAAGGACCTATACAAAGAAAACTATAAAACACTGTTAAAAGAAATAGAAGAAGACACAAAGAAGTGGAAAGACTTCCTCTACTCATGGATTGGAAGAATTAACATCATCAATGGCCATCCTACCAAAAGCAATATACAGATTCAATGCTATTACAATAAAAATTTAAATCACATTCTTCAAAGAAATAGCACAATTATTGATGAAATTCATATGGAATCACCAAAAACCCCAAATAGCCAAAGCTCTTCTGAAAAAACAAAGAAGGGAATGGAGGCATCACACTCCCAGACTTCAAACTATACTACAAAGCCATAATCATCAAAACTGCATGGTATTGGAACAAGAACAGACACACAGACCAATGGAATCGAATAGAAAATCCAGAAATAAACTCAACAGATTTATGGCCAACTAATATTTGACAAGGGAGCAAAGAATATGCACTGGAGCCAAGAAAGTTTGTTCAATAAATGGTGCTGGGAAAACTGTGTCGCTACATGCAAAAGAATGAAGCTAGACAACTACCTCACACCATGCACAAAAACCAACTCAATGGATTAAAGAACTAGACATAAGACCTGAAACCATAAAATACATAGAAGAAAATATAGGCGAAACACTACATGACATGCATCTTAAAGACATCTTTACAGACACATCACCCAAAGCAGTGATAGTGAAGGCAAAGATAAACAGCTTGGACTACATCAAATTAAAGAGCTTCTGCATAGCAAAAGAGACAATAACCAAAACAGAGAAACCCCACCGACTGGGAGAAAATTTTTGCACACAATACTAACGATAAAGGACTGATCACAAAAATCTACAAAATGCTGATGAGACTCAACAAAAACAGAAAATAATCCAGTCAAAAAATGGGCAGAAGAGCTAAAAAGAAACTTCTCTGAAGAAGAAATGCAAATGGCCAACAGGCATATGAAAAAATGTTCAACATCACTTGTAATCAGGGAAATGCAAATCAAAACTACCATGAGATACCATCTCACACCAGTGAAAATGGCACATATTAAAAAAACTAGCAACAACAAATGTTGTCGAGGTTGTGGAGAAAACTGAACTGCTGGTGGGAGTGCAAACTGGTCCAACCACTATGGAGAGCTGTGTGGAGATTTCTTGAACTACTAAACATAGAGCTTCCATATGATCCAGCAATTCCACTCCTGGTTATTTACCCAAATGACACAGAAACAGTAATCCAAAGAGCACCTGCACCCCTATGTTTATAGCAGCACTATTTACAATAGCTAAGCTATGAAAGCAACCCAAATGCCCAAAAATAGATGACTGGATTAAGAAGATGTGGTACATATACACCATGGAATATTACTCAGCAAACAAAAAAGATAAACACATGCAGTTTGCAGCAACATGGATGGAGCTGGAAGGGATCATGTTCAGCAGAATAAGCCAGAATGAAAAAGAAAAATATCGGATGGTCTCACTCATAGCAGGAATTTAGAAAACCTAAATAAGAGACCAGGAAAAAGACTAATCAATACAAAGTAAAAATCAAAATCAACAAGCAACTATAAACCAGAGACACACTACGGGGAGAGGGGCAGGGAAAGGAAGGACTAGAGTCAAAATAAGGGGGGGGGTGCAACTGTATGGGGAATATAACCAAAATGAAAATGCATACATTGTGCAGATGAAAAAAGATGTAAGAATTATATAAAATAAAATATTTAAATTAAATATGTAAAAAAAGTATTAATGTACATATATAAATGTATGTGTGTATATGTATGTTATGTATGTATTTTTTACATTGACTGAAATTTACATGGCATTTTGTCATTTATGTCTGTTGAGTATACTTCAGTCTTCCTAATCTTCCCCATCACTTTCTTTTTTTTCTTTTTTTCTTTTTTAAAGATTTATATATTTATGGATACAAGAGCTGGGGTACAGGCCAGAGGTGCAGGGAGGGGGTGGGGGGGTGAAAGGATTCACCAGAGACAGAGTTCCCCATCACTTTCTTTAAGCACTCTAATCTCCTTCTGTTCTGGAACACGTAAGACATGACGCTACCTCAGAACCCTTGTGCTGTTCCTTGTGTTTAGAACACTTTCTGACTTTACATGCTCACTCTCACCTCCTTTAGGTCTTTACTCAGCTATTACTTTTTTGTTTAGATCTTCTCAGATCATTGTATTTTAAATAGCAGTTACAGTGCCTTTCTCCCTTCCCCACTTCATTTTTTTCTGTAGCACTCAGCTCGGTGTCTTAGAAATTTTATTTTAGTCTTATTTTGTTCATTTTTCTCTCCCACCCCTAGACTATAAGGTCTTTATGGGCAGGAATTTGTGTCTTGTCTTGTTGATTACCTTATTCCTATCCCTTAGAACATCGCATATTGAGTCAGGTGCTCAGTAAATATTTGTTGATTGAACAAATTATATGTTTCCCACAAGGTCCTAGAAAGACAAGAAATCAGAACTATAGCATAAGTGATGGCTTTAAATTTTTAGAATTGAGGAATGAAGTATCCCTAATGAACAAAGATGTGGATTCTGACATTTGATCATTGAAGAACTATGACTAAGTTATTATTTAATAGATGTAACATATTAACATAACTAAGTTTGTTTAACATTACAGCTTGGAGGTGGTTGAGAAAAGAGAGCATTTTCCTTTTCAGTACAAAAAAAAAGACTTTTATAAACTGTTCATTTGCTTAATTTTCAAAGGCAAACTTCCAGTTATTTATTTTAAAAATATTTACTGAAGGCTTGCTTGCAAAGTGCCAGGTATTGTAGAAACAATATATTAAGCTATGTATGATACAATAAATTAAGCATTTCTATTTGAGGTAGTTGACTAAATTAGTGGATCTTCAGTATAGCAGACAACTATTTCGGTTTACATTATAAGGTAATGTTATGGTATTTCAGAGTATCTCCTCACCTTACTTTACAAGACCTGAGGACACGTCTTGGTGAGTTCCTTGGTGAAGATGCTCTTGCAGAAAAATTTTTATTTCTGAAATGCATTGGAAATAATCTGGCTGTGGTAAGTTTCATATATTTCCCCCTTTGATTAAAGAAAAGCATACTTTGATGTGGCTGATTAATATTGGGGTGAGGCTGGAGGTGCTGGGGTGAAAGAATTCACCAGATAGAAGATGGAGAACAGAAAAGGAGGATTTATTGAGATACCCTATAAGGGAGCAGGAAGTGAGGAGAGGTCTGCACTGGAAGGAGCATTTGAGATTGTTTTATACTCTATTTTCATGGGCTTTCTTACTTGGGGTCCAGTTTGCTCCAGTTATCTGCTGGGATGACTGGCCTTTGACACAGAATGTGTCCTGGCCCTGCTTCTGCATTCCTGGAGCTGGGCTGGTTTTTCTTGTCTTGGTGATCTTGTCTTACTGCCCAGTTCCCCTGGCAACCTTCCAAGCTTTTCTGCTGGGCAAGGAGTTGGGGCTTAGTTTTTAACCTTATTAAATGATACCTGACCTTATTAAATGATACCTGACACTTAACAAATTGTGTTACTTGTTTATCAACTCAGCTCCTTAACATGTTATGGGATTTAATCATAATGCAAACATCACTAAGCACACAAATCTTCAAGAAAAGATGAATCAGATTGGCATGTTACTGGACACTGAAATGGTGGGAGTATTTTTGCATGTCAGTGTCCTTGGGAAAAAGGAAAACAAATTTAAAATGTGCTCAGACAAGTAGTATGTATTTCTCAATTTAAATGTAGTGTTTTTTAACCAAGTACTTATGTCCTAGAGAAAAATACTTTGTTTTTGTTTTTTTAATTTTTATGTCCACAACTGGGCTTGCTTATGCTGTGAACTTGTTTCCAACTTATATATTTGGTATCAATTGAAGGCTTTTATTTGTAGTTTCTGTGATTTAATGGTAGGATTTCTAAGTAGAGAGAGTTCCTAGCTGAATTCTCAATTCAACAGCCTATCAGATGTCAAACTTTCTGGTTTTTCATATCTATGTAAGGTTTATTTCTTTAATTAAGATTTTCCGGGCCTCCCCGGTGGCGCAGCGGTTGAGCTCTGGGTTGCGAAGCTGCCCGCGGCCTTTGCGGCGCTGGTTCGGTCCCCGGCTGCTCCCCGGCCACTGGAGGAGGGTCCCGCATGGCGCGCAGACCTCTCCTGCAGCCCGCTGCACCCCTCAGCAGTGTACTTCGGTCCTTCTGCCTGCTACTTCGGTCCTTCTGCCTGCTCTGCTCCCCGCTCTGGCTCTGGTGAATTCTCTCACCCTCCCGCGCTTCTGACTGTACCCAGTGCATGTATAAACAAACAAATAAAAAAAAAAAAAAAAGATTTTCCATACTCAAACTCTTTAACAGGCATTATATTCTGTTCCACCCTACTTAATATAGTTTGTTATTATTAAGTACTTATATATGTGATTATTTGTTTAATATCTAATTGTGTGATTAGATTTAGCTCCTATGTGCAGGGACTTTATTTTATTGACCACTATGTTTATAACCAGTATTTAACAAAGTGCTTAGTACGTAGAGGCATTTAGATGCTTGTTAAAATAATTAAATGATGAATGATAATGGGAAAAGATAAACATTTTCTTCCAAAGTAATCCTACAGAGGAATTTGCAGCATGGAAATTTTAAAATCAATAGCTACATTTAAAGTTTTCATCATTAGAGTTCTCTTTAATATGCCAGAGTATTAACTTACTGATCTTTAAGTTAGTGTTTCTCAAATGGGAAGAAAATAAGCAATTTTCGTGTGTTTCTGTCCTTTTTTATGATGTATAAAATTACAAATTATCAACCATAGGATTCTATGGGTTGAATGTATGGGAAATAAAATTTACAAGGTTGATCTCTAGGGCCAGGTTACCTGATTTTTAGTCCCAATTTGAAGATTCTACTTATAACATTTTGAGCAAGTTACTTAACTTGTTTTTGCCTTTATCTCATGGTCTGTGATCACAGAGTATATACCTGGCTATCACATGAAATCGTGAGTTTTAACTGATTAATATACATAAAGCACTTAGAATACTAGCAGCTGCAGAGTGAGTCTGTGCAAGTGATAACTATAATTATTATTAAATTATATTAAAAAAATTTTAAAGATTTATTTATTTATACAACAACTGGAATACAGGCCAGAGGCGTGGGAGGGTGAGAGGATTCACCAGAGACAGAACGGGGAACAGAACAGGCAGACTGACTGAAATACACTGCTGAGGGGAGCAGCAGGCAAGACAAGAGAGGTCTGCTGCGCCATGTGGGGTTCTTGCCGGCCGGCAGGGATCGAACCCGCGCTGCAGAGGCTGCAGACAGCATCACAGTGTGGCACTCAATTGCTTTATATTTGAGTAGATAGAAATAGGATTATATTTTACATTTTCTAAAATCTAGTTTTAGTTACCAGCTTTTAGGTTTGATTTCAAAAGTGGAGGTGAAAATAATGAAAAATGTTACAAAAGCTTTACATTTTTTCCTCATTCATTTATTTTTAGGTGAAGACAAAGCAGGAATCAGAACTGAGACTCAAATCATTTGTTCCTCCATATGTATGTAATGTAACATTTTAAGCTTAAGATAATTTTTAAGTTACTTTTGTTTAAATTGCAAAATAATTTTTTTATTTTTTTCTATATGTTATAGGCTCTTCAACCAGAATTATATTTGCTTCCTATAATGGATCATTTAGGAAATATTTTTTCATCAGCAGCAGCAGATTCTTTAAATGGGCCACAGATCAATAATGGTGTTGCTGAGGCTAATGGAAAAATCCACATACCAGTTAGTGTAACTTTGTCAAAGGAAGAACCTGGAACAGATCCCAGCTTTTTAGAAAACGCTTTGAAAGAAATTCTTAACAAGAATCAGGAAGAAGGTGATTTCAGCTGGATTGGGAAAGACAAAGAGACTATTATAGTTCATTTTAGCAGTCAGGTCTGTGAGAAAATTCTGGGCAAATATAGTCTTACAAACCTTTTCTTCTAATAGTTTAAGAGGAAAGCTACAATTCAATTTGGGGATTTTAAAAAATTGTCTTTCCAGGTATAAGGAAAAAAATTAAAGGCCATGTTAAAATAAAAACCAAATCAAAATACTTACAGCACTTAAATAAACTGTACCACCTATACTTTTATAATAGCCTCAGATTAAGTTGAAGCTAAACGAAAAGAGAAAGGAAGTGATTACTGCATAAAACCTTGGTACTGTTATAAGTACAGAAGGATCTTATCCATGAAAGCAGTGCCAAACCAAAGCAAACAAGCTTTAATGTTGAGAGACATTTGTATTTCAATGATTTAAAAATTTTTATATGACTATACCTATCAATTTACTGATAATATGGTTCTTAAAAAGTGGTAAATCGTTAAAAGATCAAAATTAAACATAACTATACCAATACAGCTGGCACTGTGCTCTAAGAATTGATTGGAAAAAAAAGCTGAATTTTTTTTTTACCTTATTACATACCGGAAATAAACTGTGACAGAAAAGTAAATATACTAAACATTTATAAATGAAATGGAATCCTCTCCAAACTAATGACAAAATCCATTACAGTTGCAAAATACACTTGTTCTTAACAAGCTCCGTTTTTCCCCATCTTCAATTATAGCAATTCCTTTTTGACGTTTATATTGTACCCAGTAATATTCCACGTTTGACACTTTCTTTAATTTTAGGTGCATATAGTGTTTACTGCCCTCATGTGATTACTATTTCCAATGAGGCATACGGATTTTATTGCTTGATGCCAGTGAGAGTCTTTACATCCTCCTTTATTTAGGCATGTCTCTGCAATGTTAAATATTGCTTTCCTCTCATGCTATTATTTAAATGTTAGAGAAATGAAAACATCTGGGAAACAAAAATGCAGAATAGAATCCCCATATTCCTGAAAAGTGTAAGGTAAAGTGGTTAATTATGAAAGCAACTGCCCTACATAAATCTGTAAATAAAGTCACATATCATACCCTGGGCTGCTGAACAAATTGCTGGACAGTACTACTTGCACAAAACCTGAAAAAAGTCTAAAAAAAAGTAGGAGAATTAATTCTACTAATTTTGTACCAGTTTTAAATGGTATTAATTTCTTTGTGTCTTTCTAAAAAAAAATTGTATGTGGAAGGTCAGTGCATGCACACTTAAAAAAGTTCTAGGAACTTCAATAAATACAAAAAAGAAAAAGATTAACAGGGCCTCCCCGGTGGCGCAGCGGTTGAGCGCTGGGTTGTGAAGCTGCCCGCAGCCTCGGCGGCACCGGTTCGATCCCCGGCTGCTCCCCAGCCACCAGAGGAGGGTCCCACATGGCGCGCAGACCTCTCCTGCCGCCCGCTGCTCCCCTCAGCAGTGTACTTCGGTCCTTCTGCCTGCTCTGCTCCCCGCTCTGGCTCTGGTGAGTTCTCTCACCCTCCCGCGCTTCTGACTGTACCCAGTGCATGTATAAACAAAACAAACAAACAAATAAATAAATAAATAAAACATGCCTCTATTTGAAAAAAAAAAAAAAAAAAAGAAAAAGATTAACAATAATTCCACCTTCCAGATATACCTTCTGATATATTCTTCTACTTATTTCATATAACAAGTATTTTTATTTTTTAAAAATGGAGATATAAAATTCTTTTAAAGACTCTATGTTAGATCCTTTATATCAGTAAATACAGATCTTCATCACTGTAGAATTCCTCTGCAGTATCATTTACTTATCCAATACCATATTAAAGTTTTTGTTATGAATAGTACTGGGAATGTTTTTCTCAATATAAAACCTCATGCACTTATCTGGCTATGTTTTAGAAGTTTAATGAATGTTTCTAAAATAGTTTTTTTTTTTTTTAATTCTTTTGCGAAAGAATATTCCAGCATTTCATGTCTGTCTCTGGTCACATCCTTTTCATTCCCCAGTAGATGTAACTGCTTCTTTGATATTTTGAGATGGTTGTTTTCTTGCTTTTCTTTATAAGTTTACAACCCAGATGTGTTTTCCTAAATAGTTTAGTTTTGTCTATATTGAATTTTATTTAGATGGAATCATATTGAAGATATTTATCTTGTACTTGTTTCTTTTATTCAATGTTGTGATTGTAAGATTCAATCATGGTACATATATTTCATTTCTTTTCATTGTATAATATTCCATTATATGATTACATAATAATTTACTTACCTATTCTGTAGATGAATATTTGGTTTGTTTCTTGTTAGGAATTATCACAAATGTGATATTAGACACATTCTTATATATGACTACTAAATGTACATGTGCAAGATTTCAAAAGAGTATATCTAGGATTGACATTACATGCACATGTTTAGCTTTACTAAATTACATTCATGTGTTTTCCAAAGTGATTATATCCAGCAATAATGTCTGAAAATTCCTATTGGACTATATGATGCCATTTTCCTGGGCATTTTCTATCTTCTTGTTTCTTTGCTTGATATTCTGGTCAATATCTTCAGAAATTTCCGCTGGAAAGATTTCTTCCAGATCTAACTTGCTGATTTTCTCTTTAGCTATATCTATTCTTCTGTTAAATCCCTACACTAAAATTTTAATTATAAATATTTTTTTCCTAAAGATTCTCTGTGGTTGAACTTTTTCCCATATGTTTAATGATCATTTGTATTTGCCTTCATTCATGTGTTTTGCCTATTTTGTTCTTTCTTTTAAAATACTGATTTGTTTTGTATACGTACATATTTTTTCTAGCATATGTGTATGAGTGTGTATGTATAATTCATTGTAGGCTTTAGTTGTGTTTTCTCTATTTGTTCTCTTTATAATTCTTGTGCTGAAAGGAATTCTTAAATTTTGTCAGCATGCTCCTAACAACTACAGGAAAGGACTGTTGATGTCTTTACTTATCTATCAGGCTTTGATTTATATATTTTGAGGCTCTGTTATTAAATGCATGCACATCTAGATATATTAAGATGTTTTTATCAACCTCTATATTATTATGTCATTTTCTAGGCTATATATTACATAACTTCAGTTTATTAAAAATTTGAGTGCATATGGTCAGTCACCTTTTGTTGGTATCTCCTAAAGTTAATGTTCTACAAGTTTAACATTTTACTAACAGTGAACATTAGAATTGTTAAAAAGATATAATGGAATCAAATTTAAGATATTTTATGTGCCACTCCTTTCTGTATAATGCAAGACCACATGCACAGGTGAATCAAAGAACAAAAGAACAGTGAAGAAAGTGGGGTGGCACATGTATTCATTATTAAATACTTTAAGCCACTCCCATTTTCAGAAATATTTTTGTTGAAGTTTTGTTATCACCCCTCTGAGAATCAGAAATGTCAGTTTGACATATTATTTCCAAATATTGGTATATACCTTTAATTTGAAGTTTATATTAACCCTCATTATTACCATTCCTTTCTGCTGGAAAAAACCTCGTTTAACATTTCCTTTAATGAAGATCTGCTGAGAGTTAATTCACTCAGCTTTTGCTGTTTGAAATGTCTTTTTTTTTTATTGTAACACTGTTTTACAACATCTATATCATTTAGAAGTATAGGATCAACCCCTTTGGGTGTATATTGCCACACGCACCTACCAGTAAGATACCCATAGTTCTCCACAATAGAACATTATGCTGTCTCCCCACATTACTCTCCCTGCCCCCCCCATCCTGCTTCTGGCATCTCACGTCTACAATCAGATTGCTAAGATACGTTATTAGTTTGGTTTTATCTGACCCTTTCTTTTGTATATCTGTATTCCACATATAAGTGATACCATCCAGTATTTGTCTTTCTCCTTCTGACTTTTTTCACTTGGCATAATTCCCTCCGTTTGCCTTTGTGTTGTTGCAAATGGCAAGAGTTGTATCTTTCCTTTTTCATGGCTGAGTAGTATTCCATTATGTATCTATATATACTAGGTCTTCTGTATTTATACCCGCATTTCCCAGAAAAGGTTTTTCAGAATACTACTTTAAAAGATGCTTTCAGCAAAAACTTTCTGAAGACAATTTATGTAAAACCTCAGTTGCCTCCTCTTGCATATTCATATTGTACATAAAAACAGAAATCCTGAAGTAGAGGGGATAGAGAGATGTTGTTTCCCTTTTAAGGTTGCTTAATCCAGTTTTTCCCAAACTAAATTCACTAAAGAATTCTCCTTGCACATAACCTAACGTCTCTTGAAATTCACTTTGGAAATTGTTGTGTTATATCACGTATAATAAAGTTCGTAAAGATTCTGAAACAGAGGGCAAGATTATATTGTATACATATAAAAGAAAATTTTTATTCTAATATTTTCTTAACCTTATAAACTTTATTTGTCATGGATAATCATCAGCATCAGCTGGGGGAAAAACCACTCCAAAAAATCAGACTACAAAAAATCAAGAAGGAAATTCTGAATTGCCAGGATCTTCAGGAGATTCAAACAATAATCATTTTAGCAAAAAAAGGTAATTAATAATAATGTTGAATCCACATTCCTTAATCTAAACTGTAAGAAAAAGAGTGAGATAACCAGAGTACTATTCTAAGGAATTCTGATTAGAACAAAACTATGAGTGAAAGTAGTGATATTTTTCATAAAATTACCTTGATTCTGATCTCTACTATTATGTATCAACATTCCTCTCCAGTATAAGGGATATTTTCTTGCTTAAATTTATTTCTCTTGGATTTTTTTGTCATCATGGGTGACTTAGTGACAAAAGGAATGTGACAAAATGTGGCAAAAAGAATTGCCTTTCTTAGAATTAATTGTTCTATCTCTTAGATTCTTGGTTGTGTGTAAACTAGTCAGTGTGTTTGAGTTTCACATTGATATTACTTCTTTCAAAATCATAGTACTTAGACAACAGGTTGGCAAACACTCTTAAAATTAAGACAGGGGATTTTATAAGTAGCTAAAAATCAAGTCTAACAAAATATGCTTATAAAATTTCCAGTTATTGCTATAGACATTGGACTGTGTTTTAAATTTAACTATATAGTGTAATGAAATGTTAGTATATTACTCATACTAAATGTAGCTTACATTGATCATTGAGTTTGAAAGACAATGCAATGGTAGTGGGTTGTCATTTTAAAAATCTTAATGTTATATGTGAAATATAAATAACCAAAGCAAACAAACTGGCAAAACACAAGACTTAGACTGTGAAAAATATGGTGGTTACCAGAGTGTAAGGCAAAGTCAGGGAGGGAGGGAAAGTTGAGAAGAATGGGTAGAGGGGTCAATTTGATAGTATGATGGTACTGAAACTTTGGGGCAGGTGAGTGAAGCATATACACACATCAAGGTATGAAGCTGTACCCCCAAAATTACATCATAATGATATTTTTAATGTTATATTTGTATTTGCAGAATATCAAATAAAATATATAAGATATGAAAAATGATTCATAGAATCATTTTTAATATGACTTTCGAATCTGTCATTCCCTTTAAGTTATTATCTTTGGAAAAATGAAGATGATAGAGTTAATGTAATTAGAAGAGAGGAAAATCAGGTATGATTAAAAATTTTTTAATGTGGTATTGCAATGTAGTATTTACATAAAAATTAAGATGAAATTGCAGATTAAAATATCTAAGTTTTTTAACTAATGGGTGAGAGATAAGCCAAAAAAAATTCAGGAGTTTGCTAATTCTGTGAAATTTCTGGGAGTGCCATGATCTGGAACATTTAAGGTACCCCTTTAAAGTGAAATTCAAGTGTTTGTATCTTGCTTCAGTTACCACTGAAGTGAGTCACCTGATGAACTTCTTTGGAATTTGGAGAGTGATGAGAGATTTTCAGGACTTGGATGTGATGCTCCAGTCTTTTTTTAATCAATCAATCTAAAAAGACATAATTTTAAATGATGAACCCAAATTAAAAAAAAAAACTAAGAAAATAAATTTGCATTATTTTAAGACAAAAATAAAAATCTTCCAACTTTGAGTGATTCCCATGCCAGCCTCTGTTAATAATTGTTCTGTGGTTGCTAGGGTTTGATAAAGCATGATATCTTCACACGTTAAAATTTTTTTGTTAGTCTAGTGGATGCTTATGATACTTTACTGTGGTTTGAATTTTAATTTCTCTGATTACCCATAAAGTTGACTGTTTTTATTGAGGTATTTTTTAAAAGTATTTCTACTGGTTTGTCTGCCATATATTTTAGATTCTGTGCTATGCTTCTAAGGGTATCCCTCTCACCTGTTGTAGTCTCAGATAAATAACTACAATATGTTCATCACTAACTGCCAGCTCTTTGCAAAAGATTTTTAAACTTAGGGCATCCTCTGGTGGTGCAGGAGGTTGGATGCAGCCCTGTGTAGCTGTCCACAGCCTCTGCAGTGCATGTTCGATCCCAGCCAGCTGTCGAGAATCCCCCATGGCATGGCAGACCTCTCCTGTCTCGTCCGCTGCTCCCCTCAGCAGTGTATTTCAGTCAGTCTGCCTGTTCTGTTTCCTGCTCTGTCCCTGGTGAATCCTCTCACCCTCCCGCGCCTCTGGCCTGTACCCCAATTCTTGTATGCATGAATAAATAAATCTTAAAATAATAAATAAATAGATCTGATTCATTGTTTCGTTTTTCTTTTTCAGGGAACTCAATTAGTCTTAGGTTAGATCTTTACCTTTTGTATCTGTCACTTTCTCTGTGATCTGTTTTTACTATTTGTTTCACTTTCTTTGATCCTTTTGTTTCTATTCTTCATTATTCTCACTGTATTTTGCTCATGTCTATTACTTCTTAGACATCTGCTAATTTTTTCTTTTCTGAGAACATTTAAAAATTTTTCTTTCTTTTGTTTGGCTTTTATTTCACATCTTCCTGTTCTTTTCCATTTTTATTCTGAGTTTAAAATTTTCTGACTGTGGTGTTTGTTCATATCTGCAAATGCCTGTTTATTTATATTTGCTCTATGTCGGGAGTATTAAGTTTTTCTCTGCTTTGTGATTAGCTGTTTTTCTTTTGGTTTTAGTTCTCAATTTTTAGTTGTTTTTTTTTTTTAAACAACTATGTGGATTGTAAATTATTCTGTAGATGTTGCTCATGCTTGTATTGGATTTTCTGTATCAGTAACAACAGGCAGTATTATAGCAGAAGAGGGAGAGGTGTTTTGGGTTACTTAATCTGTTTCTTAGATCTGGAGCACCCTCTCCTGCTGCTGTAGTGAAATTCAGTTATTTATTTATTTTTGCATAAATGAAGTCTTTTGGAAGGGAAGAGGTATATATTATTTAGGTTCTTCTTTACTAAATTCAGCAATGCATTTTTTATCTTAGCCATTTTTTTCTTTTTTCTCTTACTACCTAGTCCCTAAAGAACATTTCTCACTTTCACAGCATTTTCCTCTCTCCAGAAGCAATTTCTTCCCATGATTGCTGCCTCTGTCCTTATTGTCAGGACCTTCTCTTTCCAGACTAAACCATGGTTGATATTTAAATCTGTGTGTTGTACTCTCTAATGCATGGTTCACATCTGACTGTTCAAATGTGGGCTGCTGAGTATACATACTGCTGGCCTAGAGTATTTATTTCTCCCACTTACATGTAAATTGAACTATATGTAAATTAAAGGATTCTGTGTCCTAGGTATGCCATGGACAATATATGGGTTATTTTATTTTCTTTTGTAAGAGTTTGGAGATATGTGTGGAGAGATTCCAGTTTAGGTGAGTACCGTTGTCCTTTTGGAAACTGATGTTAAAAGTTAAGAAAAAAATAAACTATTGAAAGAATAATTAAACAAAAATAGAGTAAGGGGGTCTCCCTGGTGGTGCAGGGGTTATGTCTCAGCGCTATCACCCTATTGCCACTATGATCTGAGTTAGATCCCTGGCCAGGGAGCTAACCCACATGGCACAGCAGACCTCTCCTGTCTTGCCCGCTGCTCCCCTCAGCAGTATATTTCAGTAGATCTACCTGTTCTGCTCCCCACTCTGTCTCTGGTGAATCCTCTTAGCCCCTACCCTGCACCTCTCGCGTAGATACCAGTTCTTGTATGAATAAATAAACAAAAATAAATCTTTGAAAAAAATAGGAGTAAGGGCTTAATGAAGATGAAAGTAGAAACTAATAAATTACACAAGTGAAAAACCTAACAGAATTAAATGCAGTTTAAAATCTATAAAGTGATAGTATAATCCATCAATGTGGTTTATCAGAAAAAGAAGCAGCACAGAAATTAGGGAAGATGAAGTTGACATATAGGCAAAGATACAGAGGACATAAAATATGAGAATAGAGTATATGCTAAAATTTGAAAATGTGATGGAATTTACAGTTTTTTAAAGCAAACAAATTATCCAAATTAATAACCATTTAAAAACTTAGAAGTTATAACAAATAGCTAAGATCAGAAGTCTTGGAAGAAAAGCATGTCAGAAAGGAAAAATTAACTCTATTATTTTACTGTTAAGTTTGAAGCACCTGTATATAATGTTCAAGTAATAGTAGGATGGAGAAGCTGGAGCATGTGAGAAAGACTAGAGGTATTAATACAGATTTGGGAGTTCATCACCATATATGTAAAAAAAAAATACATTGTTATTATCCATTGCCAAGTGCTTATAGATGGTTGAAAAATAATGTCACTCTACCAGATCTTACTGATTTTAGTGTTTGCTCACAGATGGTTAAAAAAGAGTACATCCCCCTACCAAGTCTTGATTTTTCTTCACTGCCTCATCAGCCAGGAATAAATGATATCTCTTTATTACAGATTGAAAGTAAGTATGATGGCACTGTAAATACAGATATTCTGGGAGGTCAATTTAAAGAATATTAATAGGTAGTTATTGTTTAATGGTGAAGAGTTTCAATTTGGGAAGATAAAAAGGGTCAGAACTTTTTTTAGAAGGGTGGTAGTTATGGTTGCACAACATGTGATTGTGCATGCCAGCGTACTATACCTTTCAAAATAGTGAACTTTATGTATACTTTACCCATAAAAAAGTTATCTGAAAGCATATGAATTTTGTGTTGATTACCACATGTTTAGACACTAATAATATTTCTGCTTAAAAAAAGCACTAAAGTATGTATTTTCCATGTCAGATTTAAATACTATAACTTTGGGCCCAAGATAAATTTACCAAAATAATTAAGCTAAGAAGTATAACTACTTGAGCTTTATGTAAATACAGAAGAGACATACCGTTTTCTTTATATAGATATAAATTTCCATATGTTTCACTCTTAGAAACTGAAATAATTCCTCAGTATTTTCCATAGTGGCAAATGGTTATTCTATAGCAATAAAAATAGAGTTTTGTGTAAAATTTATTCTTTCTGTGTTACATACTCTTAAGTTTTATAGTCCACATTTTAGTATGTGAACCATTTTTTAGCTTTCAGACGTTGATAAATGTGAGCTGTAATTTTTTTAGGAGAGAAGATGACTGAACAAATGAAACAAGTAAAAAAAGAAAGAAGATGCCTGGAAAGAATTAGAGAAGAGCTACTAAACAAAATTGAAAAGCTATTTCAACAAAGCAAATTAAAACGATGTCATGGTAAAGTTTACTGCATATCTTTTTTCACTATAAAGGAAACTTAAGTCTTATAAAAATTATGGTTTTGGAATAAATAGTAAAATTATAATTAATATTTACTGTTTTATAGTTACTGTCTAGATTATACTATTGATATAAGTTCAATACAGAAAACATGAAATCATGTTCAACTTTATTTATACAATAAGCACAGCATACTTTAGTCTTTTTTAAACTGAAATTTATTTTTATAACAAATTAATTTACTTGTTCATTCATTTTCCCATTCATTTGTTTAAAAAAGTATTTATTAGGTGTCTGCTGAATTTAGCCATTGTTCTATGGGCTGAAAAGGCAGTAATAGGCGGACACAAACTTGTCTCTGCCTTTAAAGCTTATAATCTAGTGGGAAAATGATAAATTAAGCATACATCGTGATGAATGGTCTGGTAGAGGAATTACCATACTCCCATAGTTTGTGCATTGGGGTACAGAGAAGAACACTGAATTGAAAGGAATAAGTCAAGACAGACTTCTAGGGAAAGTATTGGATACAGTAGAAACTAAAGTGTGCCTCTCTTGGCTACAGGACTTTTCCTTCTTTTCTTCCTGTCTACTTCTTTCCCTGTCCTCTCATTCTATCCACTTCTTCCCAGTTCACCTGGCCGTTTCCAACCAATCATTCAGTTTCAGTTTAGATATTATTTATTCTACAGTCTTTTTTAATTCCTTGGTCTCCGCTAGGTGCTTAAATTTTTTGATATGTTTATCTCTGTTTTGCCAAACTGAATAAATGAATGAATGAATGAGAGAAATTAGGAAAAATGGGTTGTTTCATTGCAATAGAATTAGAAACAGTGTTGGTGGAACTGGTAGAAATGAAAAAAAAAAAAATGAGCCAGAGTAGAGAAAGTATCGGATAATGGTTTGAGAGATGAAATGCTTTGAGAAGCCTGCAAGGATTAAGGGTAAAAGGTGTGTATGGAAGTAAATAGTTTTAGTATTCTCAATATACAGCAAAGTCATTGTTTTAGCACTAGAACTGACTGGAGGTTATAGACGATATTATGAGATATTTCTGAAGGTTCTACCTCATTATAGTAAAGTGTTATTCTGAAAGTGGTGGCAATGACTCAGCCTTATTATACTGTTTAAAAGAACAATTTTATCTCAAAAATTTGAACAATAGTCTAGAATCACAGAATCAGGATTCAGGATACCAGATCAATTTTTCACTTAGGTAAGTTATTTCTCCTCTTTGAGTCCTGCTCTTCTGATTATAAAATAATCATCATCAATCACTTTCTATTTCTTTTTTATGTTTTTTAGTGAAGTAACATTGCATTATAATAGTATATAAACTTCAGTGTGTATCATTATAGCTCAATAGTCATTTTCTATTTCAACAGGAATGTTTCAAGATAAAAAGCATGTATAAACCATAAAATATTTATTGAGCCTATTGCCTACTATGTGCTTCAATTTCCAGCATTGTTTTAAATGCTGAGGATGTAGCCCTAAGGACAGATTTGGCCTGCTCTTAAGAAGTTTGCTTCTAATGGGAGAAATAGACAATAAACAAATAAGGCAATATCAGCTACTGATTAGAACTGAGAAGTCCATTACAAAGCTCAGTAAAGAGTGGTGGGGCTGGAGAGATGCTTTGGTGAGGATTTTCAAGGAAGATAACTTTGAAAAGATATTAAGACTTGATTAATAAGGAGATAGGCATGTAAGAAGATGGGGGGTGCGGAAGGGGGGAACAGACTGAACTAAAGGAACAATAAATGGTTTAGAGACAGGAATTAACCTGTGGTATTGTGGACCTGAAGTAAGGACAGTGTGGCTGGAGCATGTAAATAAAGAGGAATGTAGATCAGCAAAGAATAGGCAATTCGAGGTGTTTCATTTTATTCTAAGTAAGATGGAAAGCCATTGGAGGATTTTTAAGCTAACTATTTACATGAATTTAAAAATATTTTTAGAAAGATCAGAATAAACCTTTAGAGGGACAAGAATGGAAATACAGAGACCAGTAAGTAAAAAAAAAAAAAATGCAGCTTTTTTGATAGAAGATGATAGTGGTTTGACAAGAGATGTATCACTGGGATGTGCCAGATTCTGGAAGTATTTTGGCAGTAGTAACTGTAGAACTTCTGAGGTATTGAATATAGGGCATGAGGAAAATAAGTAAATAAAATCCCGAGGTAAAGTTCTATATATCAATACTTATGTAATTATAATCAAATCACTTTACATATAGAATTTTTAATTTGAGGTTTTCATTTCTATAATCATCTAAAAGAAAAACAGAATTAGAGAAATAGAGTAAGTGTATTCTGATATACTACCATGCAGTTTGTGTTTCTAAGTTTGTATTTAGAAAACTCATCAGTGTCAAAGTGATTACTAACAGTGTTTAATTTCTAATTTCTCAATCAAGGGTCCCAGGTTTAATAAATTCTGTCCTGTAGAAATTTGGGGTGTATTTGGAGTAATTTTGATAAATGATGAATCAGAATTGGCTGATTATACAAAAGAAGTCATTTTGGGGAATGAAAAGATAAAGAAAAATGTGAAAAAATATATCATACTTTTTTCATAGTCATATAATAATGAATTCAAATCAGATTCTGGGAAAAAGTAAGCAAAATAAAAAATATAAATATTTCATGTAGGTAATTTTTTTGAAATTTATTTAGTTGTGCATACAAGAACTGGGGTGCAGGCCAGTGGTATGGGCTGTAACACCAGAGACAAGAGTGGGTAGCAGAGGTTGATCTACTGAAATATATTGCTCTCATGCCACAGTGGCTGGTGATAGCTTGACAGCACCAAGACTTTAACCCTTGCACCCCTGGGAAGGCCCTTGTGTAGGTAATTTTTTTAATAAAGTTTTTTCAGAAATAATTACGAGCTAAAGGAGAACATGGTTCCTATACTTATCACAATTATATTTGTAGGCAAGTCTTTTATTATCCAGTAAACATTTCTCTTGGCTCTAATTTCTTCAGAATACAAAGGAGAAAGAGGAGAGAAAAAGAAAGGTTTAAATTAACTCTAGGTCCCTTTCCAGGTTGAAAGTTTAATCATTTAGTAAGACTCAAACTTTGCTTTGCTTGTAGGCTTTGGTGGTTGGAAGAAAAAGTACCTTGAAACAAAAAAAATCACAGCATCATTAGATGAATCTTTAAAAAAACTTCAAGAAGATTTGGAACTTTACTATAAAAAATTGCTCATGCAACTTGAAGCCAGGGAAATCAGGATGAGACCCAAGAATCTGGCAAACATCACAGACTCTAAGGTACTACTAAATGTGTTCCCTTTCTGTTAGAGAAGTTCTATTGAAAATACGTGCTTTGTAATTGTTAATGTTATTATATTTAGGAGATTTGGGTTACAGGTAATGAAACTTTGACTTAAAGTGGTTTAACTTTATAGAAATTCACGTAATGGATGCTGAGGAGATAGAATCAGCAGCTTAACGATGTTCTTCAGAGTGTAGGTGCTACTGATATTCCTCTGTTATTTCTTTCTTGGCTTTATTGTAAGGCTGCTTTTCCTCCTGGTAGCAAGAGTTGCCAGTGGCTTTATTTTCTGGTGGGGTATCAACTAGGTTTACCCCCGAAATAGTAATGGGCACCAGACAATACTATGTGCTAACTGTTTTTAGACTAATTAGGATCTACCTCTGTATCTGAGGGTAGGGTCACATTGTTTGATTTTATGGGAAAGAGATGAAATATGGCAGTAAACTAACATTGTTCATTTGCTACATTCCTTTTTTCTCTCTTTTAGTTGTTGGTTAGTAACGCACATGAGTGCTAGAGGTATTAATGTTTAAAAGAAATTATGATGTTAAACTTCCATCAGTTCCTTTTTTTTCTTGAGATAGTCATGAATGTTGATAGATCAGAGACATGAAGCTTATTTCTAAATGAATAATTCCACCATATAATTAAACAATAAGGACAATTTCAGAGGTCAATTATCAGTTTAACATCTGTTGGTTGATCCCACTTTTACAAAAAGATTTTGTTCATGACTGAGCATGAATTTGACTTTAGACATGATGAAATATTGAAAGTTTACTACTGTTTTCCAGTTTTACTGAGATATAATTAACATCTAACATCATTTTAGTTTGCCGTTATACAACATAATGATTTTATTTGTTTCTATTGTGAAATAATTACCACAATAAGTGATAATCACCTCACCTCTCATCACTACAAAATTTTTTCCTTGTGAGACGTTTTAAGATCTACATCCTCGCCAACATTCAAATATATAAAATAGTATTAACTTATGTATTAACTATATATAGTATTAACTATAAGTACCATGTTGTATAGTATATCCCCAGAATTTATATTTCTTGTAACTAGAATTTTATACCATATGACCCATTTCCCCTGTCCCCTACCCCCGCCTCTGGTTATTCTATTTCTGTGAGTAAAAGTTCACCATTTTAGATAAATTTAATACAGAATGCAAATAGACTCAAGTTATGGTTTGTCCATATTAGTGGATATGTAAATGGTAATTAGTAATCTACTCCAGAGCAATGTGTTTATGTTATGGAATAGGTTATAGTCATGATTTGTTCTCTTGATATTATCACTTCGCAGTTCATTTTCAAGGTAGTTAAAAATAAAAATGTATAGATGTTATTCTACATAAAGATATCTTTATATTTCCCACACAGAATTATCTTATAATCCAGATCACTGAGTTACAACATGTAATTGACCAACTTAAGAGAAAACTGGATACTGACAAAATGAAACTCATAATAGAAGCTAAGGTAGTTTTCATTTCTTCTAATCAGATTATAATATTTATCATGAACTAAAATATTTTGGCCTCTTAACTTCAATTGTTAATTTCATAGCGATAGTAAGAATGGACCGTCTTAAAATTGTTTCCTTAACAACAAAGAGGATGAGTGGAAAAAAACAGCAAGAATAACAACTAAATCATATGAAAGATGCATGTTATAACAAGGTCAAAGTAAAACTTCATAAAATTTCACTAAGGATTAAAGGAAAAGGGCACGGGGAATCAGTATAAATAAAATCTTTATACTGATTCCCCATGCCCTTTCTTGGGTAATTATCACATTCTCTCTGGAGATACACACATATGTACATATACACACATATATACATGTACATATGTATACACACATTAACACATGTATTTTTTTTTATAACTTACTGGTCTTTTACTAGATGTTTTCTTCAGAGCAGACTACACCTTAGTTAACTTAGTTTTTCCCATAGAACCATCAGTATAGTAAGGATAGAAGGCATACTTATTTGATAAGAATTATATATAATTATTTTATCATAAGATAACTGAAATATAGATATCTTAACCCTTTTGTTGAACAGGATACAGAAAAGGATTATATATTTTCACACAAATATCCACACAGGGCAGGAAAACAAGAATGATAATTACATGAATGCGCTCAGTTTACTTCTTTATCAGAAATAGCTTTAGGACTTAGGATTTGATTCCTTTCTGGAATCAGCATAATTCCAACAGAATCCAATAGAACTTTCTGTGATAATGGAAATGTTCCATTCCTTCACTGTCTATATGATATCTACTACCCACATAAGGATATTGAACACTGGAAATGTGGCTTGTTGTGTGACTGAGGAAGTAAATTTTAATTTTTATTAATTTTAGTTAAGTTAAAGTTACATGTGCAAGTAGCTCCTGTATTAGTACTGCAGTTCTAGATTCTTTTCACTAGCACTGTTCTTATTTCACTAGTACCTTGGTTGAGCATTGAGAAATTTAAAACTTAAAATATAAAAAGAAAAGGGCAAATCATGAGTTACTGAACATTCATATACAGTGTGTACTCACGAAATTATTCAGAGAATGAAAACTCTGTGTATTCAAACATGTAGAAAGCCAGTAATAAAATATAGTAATAAAATATAGAAAGCCAGTAATAAAAATAAAAAAATAAGTCATAGCTTTCATCTATGACTGACTCAATGCTCTTTTCTTTTGGAAAGCATGTACATTAGATTGTACCATTTTGTATAATTTAACATAAATATCACTTCTGAATGGTTTGAACTCAAGTTAAAATTACTGGTACAAAAAAAGGAAAGACATAAAAGAACTAAAACTAGATTACAAACAAAGGGTGGGGGGTCCTACATTTAACCATAGTGCCTACTTGGCATATAATAAACATAGGTATTTATTATTGACTTCTGAATGATTTACCAAAACTACCTTTAAGATTCAGAACTAAGTGGTAGAAAACCTACTCTGAGTCTATTGGAGCAATATTCAAGATAGTATAGTATAAATAATACTTCTCAAAGCTTAATGTAATAACACCTTAGCAGAACCTAACTTAGGACTGTGGTGAAGTTTGAGAATCTTCAATCCTAATAAGTTCTTAGATGATGCTAAGGCTATGGTTCACAGGCAATACGTTAAATAGCAAGTGCTCTGGTACCAGATAGTTTTGAGTTTGAATTCTGACTGAGTCACTTAATAGGTTTATACTTTGAGCAAGTTACTTGATTTCTAGATATCTCAGTTTCCTCAGTTGTAAAACAGGCATAAATAATAGTAACTACTATTATAATTTTTGAAAGCATCAAAGGGGCTAATACACTTAGAAGAGTGCTTGCTACAGAATAAACATTATTATTTCTTTTTTAAAACATTATTATTTCTTAAGTATGCAGTTTCTAAGGCCTAAAAATTAACACTTTTGTTATTTATTTTGTTATTGTTTTCTTTATATACACAGATAACAATAGATTTTGAAACTTGAGCAAGAAATAAAATTCTTTCCCTAGTTTTTTAGAACAGTTTAATTTTATTATGCCTATATACTAATATATAAAATTATTTGATGGCCTATAGAGCAGTAAACAGGTTTATTTAATAGAACTATGACTGATGCAACACTGATGTAGTAATCCAGTAGGACTGAATATTGAAGGCAAGTGAAAGAAGACAGTTAAAGCAGTTACAGAAATCTGTATTTGCATGATAATTATATAATTTTAGAAGGGTAAGATGAAAGTTCCTTTTTGAAAGATAATTCTTTTTATAGATGAGAAAACAAGCAGTTACAGATGTACGCACATTGAAATCTTCATTGGCACAGAAGAAAATAGATATACCTGTACAGCCCCAATTAGGTATGTTAATTTAAAATGTTTATTTGTCAAAAATTTAAATATTTATTTGAACAGATTAACTATTATTCTCCTTGGCAATGTTTTACATGTAATAAGTTTCATATATTTTCACTTTTCATGTAGATATTACAAGTTGTTTCAGGAAATATTAGACATAAAAAACAAAATAGTGCTTATTGGCTATAGTTTAAGGTTTTATTCCATTACCTGTTATTTCACAGCACTATATTTTATAATTTTTTATTAAAAAGTCAACAATAATAGCTAATATGACTATAAAATTTAATTATAAGGAAAATCCACATATTTTAATAAATATGAATACATTTACAAGTAAATAGATGATTTAATTTGTTTATTGTATTTTAGTTAAAAGCAATAGGGAAATATAAAAGCACACAGGTACTAATCTTGCATCCAGAACTAGGACAAAGATTAATATCTAAGTATTTAAATTTTAAAGATTTATTTAGAAATACAAAGACAATAGTAATTCAGCAAATACTACGGGGAACTGGTTGGTTTTAATCTCCCATACATAATTTTGCAAGTAGGAAATGAAGTATTATCATACTTCTCATACATTATCATAGATGACTGAACCATCATTGAATTTGAAGGGCAGGAAATGTGCAAGGAAAACAGGATTTATGTATATCCATAGTTTGAGGATTACAATTTTTAATCCAAGTATTTATAGAAAGTCATATAAGTATAGACAATGTTCTTAATTACCTCGAGAAAGCAAATAGAGACCTCTGCATATTTAGAAAAGTTCTTTGCACAATATTTCTCTTTTAGAAAGAGAAACTAGTTGAGAAACCAAGAAATTTAACCATGACAAGAAAATAAGCTCAGAAATAAATGTTAGATGTCCAAAAGAGAAGTAATATTAATAACTGGAAGGATAAATGACCATTAATAGTATCAAAATTAACACCAAATTTTTCCTATTGCAAAATTTCAGATGTAACCTCTAAAATTTAGTTGAAAAATAAGTAGCTCTGACCTACTAATATAAATATTACTAAATTATCTAATTATCTTCTTGTATCCTGTATTTTAATCCTTTGTATTCTTTTCTTCCCTCTGGATGCTTATGTGAATTTAATTCAAGTGCCTCTGAAAACATGATTACTATATAAAGTCAAGAAGCAAAAAACTTACTTGCATTAGTTGATAAACCTAGAGAAAAGACACTAAATTGCAGATTTTAAATATATATTTATTGAAATAAAAATTTATTGCAATAAAAAAGTGCAGAGCAAACTGCTTCTCAAAACCCATGTTTCAAAATAATCTATTCTAAGCAAGCAATTTTCTCTCAAATTATACATATTTTAAACATTAGCACTAATTTATAAGTATATATTTTAATATCATGGGGGGAAATTTAACATAATAAAATTCTGAAAGCAATTGCGCCTAATGATGGTATTAAGATATAGAAGAATATTTACTATCATACATTGACTTATTTCTTATATTTCTGGACACTAAAGATAGAAATATTTATGTATTTTCAAATTCAAACAAAGCATTTTTTATTCTTTATCTAGCTTTGAGTACACTAATAATTAAAACATATAGCAACATGTTCAAGAAATTAGCTCTATTTATACATATCATTTTTCTAAATCTTAATAGTTTGACAGACGATGTTCACCTTTGTCACAGCTTTGGTTTTAAGACTTTCCACATTTCTTCAGTTTGCTCTTTGGCTTCAGCATCTCCAGAGTAATCAAGACAATTTGCATTCCACATGCCAATGCCCAGTAAGCCATGATTTAGGATGTATGCTGCCTTTAAAGAAATGCTCGCAGGATTGTCATACCATACTTGATGAAAATGGCCAGCATGATCCTATACAAAGAAATTAAAATGGAAACTTAAATATTCAGTGCAACAAGAGAGAGTTTCCTAAATCCAATGATTCAAAAAGGATATAATCAAATAATAAAAGCTTAAAGACACAAGGCTTTCCAGCTCTGAGATGATGCTTTTTGGTTTCATTGCTTGTGGCATTTTTCCACAGCAGCAATTATATATTGCCTCTTAACACATTCTACTGAAGGTTCTTCTCATTGCCTTGAGTCTTCTCTTGCTCTGACCTGATGATTATTAAACAAGATACACATCTGAATCATTTGTGGGGCTTTTAAAAATAGATTCCTGGGACTCATACCACATGAAATCTACTGAATCAAAATGTTGCTATGTTGGTGCTAGGATAAATATTTATTTTGGGTTTAATGTTCCATTAGGTATTTATGATATGCAGCCAAGGTTAAGGAAAATCATTATTATAGTCTTCTAAAACCAGCTTATACACTTTTTTTGTAATCCTTACAGTTCCTGGAATTGTGCCTAGTTAAGAGCGCAACAGATGATTTTGTTTATGATAAATCAGCCAAGTCAAAAGGTAATGGCAATGGAGGAGGAAAGTAACTCCTTTCCTAGTTCTTACAGAATTGATTCTAAGAGCCTTTCAGGCCTGGACTACATAGGTGACTTATGCCTACAAACACCTGATTAAAACCATAAACAAGGAAGAAAATGGTCTTATGCTCACCCTCCACCCTGCAGCGTCCTCCCCATCCTCCATCTAGTACTAACAGTCTCCCTTAGATGGTACATAAGCTATTGGTTAAGAGCCAAATCAAAGAAGAAAGAAGCAGATTTAGGCAAAAGGGTAAAGGAAAGAGGAAAGATAAGAGATAGAAGTAGAATGACCTGGGCCTCCTTGGTGGCACAAGGGGTGAAATCTCAGCACTATGAAACTATTGGCAGCCATTTGCAGCACGAGTTCAATCCCCAGCCAAGGAGCTGACCCACATGGCTCAGCAGACCTCTCCTGTCTTGCCTGCTGCTCCCCTCAGCAGTGTATTTCAGTAGATCTGCCTGTCCTGCTCCCCACTGTCTCTGGTGAATCCTCTCACCACCCCACACCTCTGGCCTACACCCCAGCTCTTGTACGCATAAATAAGTAAAATAAATCTTTTTTAAAAAAAAGAAAGGGCCTCCCTGGTGGCGTGAGGGGTTAAGATGCAACCTATGAAGCTATCCACAGCCACTGCAGCAGGAGTTCGATCCCCAGCCAGGGAGCTGCCCACATGGTACAGCAGACCTCTCCTGTCTCACCCACTGCTCCCCTCAGCAGTGTATTTTAGTCAATCTGCCTGTTCTGTTCCCTGCTCTGTCTCTAGTGAATCCTCTCACCCCCCCACACCTCTGACCTGTACCCCAGTTCTTGTATGCATAAAGAAATAAATCCTTAAAAAAAAAAAAGAAATAGAATGACCTGTAATTAGAAAGAATTTACTGAGTTTTTACATATATCCCGGAAACATTTTAAAGGCAATTCTCAAAAAATGTTTTTATTACTGTAATATAACACTGCTGGAATTAGATTACTTTGAAGTCAGTTGGTAATTTAGTAAGCTGTGACATATTTAAATATAATAGACATTAATTACAAGAAACAAGATCTAGAGACAATTGTGGTTTGCTATTAAAAGGCAACTTGCAGTACCTGTACCTAAATACAATAAGATTTCTTTTTGAAGATTCAGGGCAAACCCAGAGACACATACCTTTGAATTTTGCCATAATTCTAACTAGTAGCTATGAGCTATGAGCCTTTTTGATTCAGTTAAGAAATTGCAAATGCCTCAAAACAGTGAACAATTGAAGGATAAAAAATTAAATATGTAAGATTGATAGATGCATGATTACGGCATATATACTTTCAAGAATATCAAGTACAGGATGAAGCTGCTATTTTAAGACAGCAAAAGAAGGCAGCATGATCTTTCCAATCAGAAGAGAAACTTGATTTTGGTTGCTAGAGAATTTTCCAATGAACAGAAGAAAAAAAGAAAATAGTTAAAACTAGCTTGTTGTCTAGAGTACCATTACACAAACTTTGGTGTAGGGTAGTTAGGTGTGAAGTTGTACTCCTGAAATGTATGTAGTATTGTAAATCAATAAAATTGTATTTAAAAAGTTAATAAAGTGTGATTAAATGAATGGCCTTCAAGGCTCATTAAAATGTGTCCTGAATTCTAAGATCTTATAAAAATGTGTCTTCTAACTCATTAAGGAAAAAACATAAGTGAGGAATTACAAAAAATAGTACATCATAGTTAACTATCTATATCACACTTCTTTTTTTTTTTTTTAAAAGATTTATTTATTTATTTATTTATACAAGCACTGGGTACAGTCAGAAGCGCGAGAGGGTGAGAGGATTCACCAGAGACAGAGCCGGGAACAGAACAGGCAGAATGACGAAGCACACTGCTGAGGGGAGCAGCGGGCGCGGCAGGAGAGGTCTGTGCGCCATGTGGGACCCTTGCCTGGCGGCCGGGGATCGAACCAGCGCTACAGAGGCTGTAGGCAGCTTTGCAGCCCAGCCCTCAACCGCTGCACCACCAGGGAGGCCCCTCTATATCACATACTTTTAAATTATGCCTAGTTGGTTACATATAGTCTTTACCAAACTTACATTCCAAAACATGTCCCCTCCGATGTTTCTAAGAGTGCTGTGAAACAGCATTCTATATTAAACAATTAAACGATTCTATGTACTGCAGCACTTCTCAAATTCATTAAGATGATTGCAGTACATTATAAATCTCTAGGAGTGATATTCAATAAGCTGTGTTTTCCATATATTGTTGGTCAGGGGCACTGTGTGTGTCTCTGTGTAATATTAACAGTTCATTAACAGTTCTGTAGAAGTGAATTCTATAGAGGAGCGTTCTAAAAATACTGTTGGGCTAAGACTGGTTTACAATATACCTTTTAATTAAACAGAAACTGTACATATGTATCTTAGACTCTAAAGGTTAGAAAGCTCTATACTAAAAGCTTTCTATATTGTTGGCATGCAGGCATGTAAATGTCTATCAGTTATACTTTATTAAATATGTATGTCTATAGTCATTCTTAATAAATGGATAGCAGGCCATTTGTCAGAAATATAAATTCTTGTAGGAATTTATATCATTTTAGGGTTGCTTTTATAGCAACATAATCCAAAGTAAATTGAGAGATGATTTGTACCTAGATTTTTGAGTTATTAAAAAGTTTTTATTATGCTAAAAGTAAATTATGATAAATACTTACCTCTTTGGTATGGAAGTTCCTATTTTTCAGTGGATAAATTATCTGACAAGTTTGCTAATCATTTACTCTCAAGTTTTTTATGTGTAATATTTTTCTGTCTCTAATTTTTAACATTGTTTATAATTTGTCTGATACCATATACTTTGACTGAATTGTGAAATTTAAATATATATTGTTTTCCATTGTAAAGTCTATGATGATGTTTTGATCTTCATTCCTCCCTATACAAGAGCTTCATCAGAATCTGTAGGCTACATTGAAATGACGGTTGTAGAGCTAGTAAGCTATTTGGCCCAAAGCCTTTTCAAAAGCCACAGTCAACCATACATAATTGTTAGTTATTAAAGAAATACTGTTTGTGAAGGGCATGTATCTGTAGTTTTGTCTGAAATGACAAGGGGCCCATGCACAGCAGTTCTACTACTGGCATAACTTGACTTGCTCATTATGGAAGTCAAGTTCGTGATTCCAGAGATTTAAAGACAAGTTTTTTCTTAGTGTTCTGTATGTTTACCCTGATAGATATTATTGATATCAAGTACATGAAAATATATAATTATGAACACTTATAAAGTGTTGATAATTTGTAAAAAGTCTTACTTTATAGTTATAATAAGGAGCCTGCTGATCTTTATCCCACTGGCTTCCAGAAACAGAAACGTTTACTTGCTTCATAATCACTTTATAGGGCACCTGTCGTCCAGCAGCATCACTACAGGAGCACCCCGGAAAGGGATTTTTGCAATGGTACAAACATCCTTCTAGAAATGAAAAAAAGGGCATGTTATAAATTATCAACTCAGAGATCTTAAAAGACAAATCAGAAATTATAGTAAAATACTACTTATTAGAAAAAAATATATATACTATAGATCAATAACCTAACTATGCAGAAGAAAGTTAAATTGAATTCCTAATGGCAAATATAATATTTAGGCATTTCCATGGGATTAAATAATTTAAAACCAATTCTACTTTTCCATCTCAAACTGTTTTAGAAATTCTAAATAAAGTTCATATGTTCTATGTAGAGAGGATAATAAATTTGAAATAAAGTCTATATATATGAAACAAAACAGGCTTTAAAAAAACACAATAGAAAGAGAAAAAAATTATCTAAGAAATTTCTGTTCTTACCTCTGATAGATTCAGGCAGGTATAATCATAACCATACCAGGGGATACCCATAACAAGTTTCTTAGGGTTAATACCCAACTTGATGTAGTCATCATATCCTAGTCAAACAGGGACAGAAAAGGCATGTCTTTCTCTTGATATGGCTACAAGTGTGTTCACACAAGCTATGCAACCACTCAGAATCTTAAGTTTGTAAAATCATTCCTTAAGAACTACAAATTCAATATCACTTTCTAAACTATTTCTTTTTGAATAACAGATAACATTCAAAGCATTTAAAATCAAATTAAAGCCAAATCTCTCAGAATTTAATCCAGAAAGAATAACACATTTCAGGAAAGTATGTTGTGTCTATTAACTATTAAGATAGGATCTATATAATATACTAAATTCTAAAGTTTGAAAAGTATTCTACAAGTCAAATTTTGCAGAGATGGTCTCAAAATTGCTTGTAGAAAGCACAACTGTTCCATGTTTTATAAATATCCTGTAAGTATGAATTATAGCTAGAAACAGGAAATGTCCCCCCCCCCTTTTTTTATAGGAAATAGAGAAAAAATGAAAAAAATCCCTGGTATTATCAATCCTTGTTCAATGCTGCAAAATATGTTTTCCCACCATGAGAGGTTCCAAGACTACCTAGAGTGTTAAGTAAGTTTGCTGCTTTCCAGGGACTTTAAAGTTATTATGTACTGTTAAGTATTAAGGGGAGAGGCACGGTGTGCATCATTTCCCAAACATTTTTGATGATGAACCTTTGACTGATAGAATAATTCCATGAAATACAGTTTGGGAACCGTGTTTAAAAAATTACCTTGTAATTTTAACAGGATTAAATTATTTTTCAAATTTAAATAGTATATGCTTATGATCAGATCATTCTATCCAAACAATGTTAGGACATGATAAAATGAAACCAGATTTTACTTCTAAGATTTTACTTCTGTGTGAAAAAGAAGAGATTATTGATTGATTATTATTTATTATTGATTTATTCACCAATCAACAATTAAGCTAACTGCCCCAGAAAATTTCAGTTGCATTCAAAATATAGAAGCAATCTTTTATTCAATTGGCTGATTGCATACAAGCCAACAAAACTATGGAAAGGATAATGCATCCATATCATATGAGTCAGAGATCAGAACTACTCTTATTTTTCAGTATAGCATGAATACTAATATTAAATGTCAAATAAGATAAAGCCAATTCTGTCAATCATGTAGTAGGTACTCACATCATAACTATCTTTGCTATTAAGTTATCTGATTAGTTAAACAAAAATAACCTGTCAAATTCTAGATAAGCAGGTATCTTCTTCATGTAATTTTCTGGCTAGAGTGTTGACTTGAAGTTAGAACACCAGCTAGAGTCTCAGCTGTAATACCTGTGCAGTTGCAATCATGTTAATGTCAATGAACTTTCCTTCACCTCACCTATAATAGAGGGCTAATAATAATATATGTATTCCATAATATTTTTGAAGAATTAAGGAAAAACAAAACTTTTAAAACTTTAAAGCTCTTCAAATTGATTTTTATGTTTCAAGCTAAGCAAATGACATTGAAATATTTACATATACATAGAACATATATATTGCACATATATTACATATATAATATATTACACATATAATGTTACACATATATCTATGACACACACATATAAAACATATATATAATATATTAAATAGCTCTTAGTGTTTGAGGTTCTGAGATAAATATTACTAATAAGTTATCATTTTGTGGATTCTTACCAGTTAATGTTTGATTGTAGGGAGCATTGGCTGCTGCAATACACTCTGACCAGATCTGACTTTGTTCATCATAAGACATCACAAAGAGAAAGTCACAAGCATCTGCAATTCCAGTATAATTATAGCACCTTTTGTCTATGCACTTTGGAGACCAAGCTACATCAAAGGTTACCTGTGGGAAAATACATGCCATTTTAAAGTAATATGATCAAATGTGCATATTATATCAAATGTTTTATTTTTATATATTCTCTGGCATCATATTATTCAAGAAAAAAAGAACTGTTAACATGTATGAACACAGTTTGACATATGTAGAACTAGAACAGTTCTAAGAAATATGTTTTTTGCCTACATGAGCTGACCCACATATGTATTTGGACAATGTTTTGGATATATGCAATGTCCAGGAGCAGGGCATTATGAAGAAGAGAATTTTTTTTAAAAAGATTTATTTATTTATATAAGAACTAGGGTACAGACCAGGGGTGCGGGAGGGTGAGGAACTTACCAGAGACAGAGTGGGGAGCAAAACAGGCAGAAGGACCGAAAACGCTGCTGATTGGAGCAGCAGGCGAGACAGGAGAGGTCTGCTGTGCCATGTGGGTACCTCCCTGGCCTGCCAGGAATCGAACCTACACTACAGAGGCTGCAGAGAGCTTAACGGCGCTGCGCTCAACCTGCTGCACACCGGGAGGCCCGAGAAGAGAAATTTTAAACTTAAATGTCTTTAGAAACTAAACTTAAATATAACTCAACTGTCTGAAAGAAACAGGTATAATGATAATAGGATGTGGTAGGGCCCTTAAATTACTAGAAAGAAAAACATATTAAAATAATTCAAATATTAAGGTTCTTAAATATTGTGGGTTACCTCTTCATACGCTGATTGGTCTATGGTGGGAGTTTGTGCCCCCAATTTACAATTATGTTACATGGTGTTTTATGGCAATAAGTATAGATTAATCAACTCAAACTATCGAATAAACCACTTAATTGGTCTTATTTTAAGGAAATAAAATGGGTGGTAAATTATCTTTCATTTAGCATGAAAGTCTTCAACAAGGATGAGTCTCTTTAAAATATTTATTGCCTTATTGCCTTAAGCACATGATAATTAGCTTTATTTTATATATATGCAAAGTGTTCTAAAGCTTTGTTAATGTTTTATTTATTAATTAGGCATTCAATAAACACATGATTATTACAAAAATTGAGATATTTTAGTAAAAATGTTTATACTTTAGCCAATGTATTCTCTTTTTAGAACTTTCTCAAAATTCTATCATTCTCTGCGTACCTATCCAAAAGGCAGTTCTCCTTTATTAGTACAGCTTTCCTCAATAGCTCTGCAGCAAAATATGTTATAAAGTGAAATGTTTACATATTGGATCCCATTTTGTCCACTATCTCCTATTAAAAAATGGGAGCTATAGTAGAGAAAATAAATTGTTACCTCTAAGCAGAAAATTTCAAATCCATTTTATAAGTCCTTATCTCCCTCCTTAGCATTAAGAGTATTTTCACCTGGATTTCTTATCATAATTAATCTCATTTTTGAGAAGGCAGTATTAAACAAGAAATCAAAAGACTTGGGTTTGTAGTCATGGCTCTATTTTAACTCCATCTATGTCACTTAAAACATCTAAATCTGTTCCCCCACCTATAAAAATGAGGAGAAAGAACTCTTCAGGAGTATTTCCTGCTCTTTTCTTTCAATTAATTATTTAACACTTGCCTGAGTATTACAGTTGTGCCATCATCCCAATCCAAACCATAGATTCCAAGGTATTTGGCTCCGTTAGTTCTTACTGGTCTCCCTTTTTCCTCTAAACTATTTTACATACTACTATAGAATAGTCTTCCCCGAACTCTTTCTACACATATAACCTACTAGCTGCAGAATAAAATGCATACTCTTCGATGTGACATTCTGGTTTTCCACAATCTAGCCTATCTTGGCAACTGTGTCTCCCACTAGTCTACCTCACATGAACTGGAAATAGTGACCTAAATTGTCCTACTTGTCCCTCAAACATAGAAATGGATATTTCTACTATAAGATCTCTCTGCTATCTCTTCATCCTTGCCCTTTGACTATAGCTTAAGCACCACTTGCCCACACATCAATCTATTTGAGACCAGAATTTATAGTGGCCTGCTATTCTTGATCTAAACTGTACTCATCTGAAATGTTGCATAAAAACAGAGATGTCAATTTTTTTTAATCATTTTGCCAATGATTTTCAAACTCATGTTGACCAACTGTACCAGAATCTCTTGTTCAAAATATAGGCTTGATCACAAGTGCACTTGCTCAAAATATAGTTCTTAGGTTGTAACCCAGAGCTATTGAATCAATCTTTTGGGATCATTTTTACAACCATTCTCAGTTGATCCTAAGAGAACGTTAGAGCACCAGTTTATACTACTTGAGATATAGACAGATACTTGTGTGTGTGGGGGGGGGGGTATGTGTGTGTATATTTTCTTAACTATATTTTAAATTTTTGAAAGTCAGGCATCATTCATTCACTCATTAAACAATCTTTAAACACTGTGTTAGTCATCAAGGGTAAGGTCACTGTCTTTAAAAAAAATTCACTGCCTAACCTAATAGGTATTTTTCCAGGCTTATTTGGGTATAATTGAGAAAATTATAATGTTTATTTAAATATATTTAGCTATACAACATAATGATCTAATATGCACATATAGTGTGAAAGGATTTCTATCACTGAGTTAATTATCTCTGGGGAAAATGGCAGTCACTACCTTGATGGTGGTAACATTTAAGTTCTACTCAGCAAATTTCAAATATATAATAAAGTATTATATCTAGTCACCTTGCTATATAGTAAATCCTCAGACCTTACTCTTCATATTGTTGAAAAGTTATACCCTTTTACCAGCCTCTCCATATTTCCTCATGCCCCCTCCCCTAAGCCCTGAAAGCTACCCACTCTTTATTTCTATGAGTTTGAAGTTTTGTTTGTTTTTTCCAGTCCCTCACATAAGTGACAGCATGCTTTATCTGCTTTGTGTGGCTTATTTTACTGAGTAAATTGCCCTCCAGTAAATTGATCATCCATGTTGTTAAAAATAGCAGGATTTCCTTCTTTGTTAAGGCTGAATGTTATTCCATTGTGTATCGTAAATAAATATACCATGTCTTCTTTATCCACTCATCCATTGACTTACACTGAGGTGGTTTTCATATCTTGGCTATTGCAATTAATGTTGCAATGAACATAGGAGTGTAGATCTCTCTTTAAGATCCTATTTTCATTTCCTTTTGCTATATAACCAGTAGAATTGCTGAATCATATGATAGTTTTATTTTTAGTGTTTTGAGAAACTACCATATTGTTTTTCATAAAGTGGTCACACCATTTTACAATACTATAGAGAAGGGTTCCCTTCTCCACACTTCCTCAGAGCTGATCACTGGGGGATAGGCATGGAAAATGCTCACATACTTGCCCTTTTAGAACTGCTTCCTACAGTATGTGGGACTCAAGAACATATTCCTGTTTGCTTTCAGAGCTATGTGTTTTGGGGGACCATTCCTTCACCTGGTAGTTGTAAAAGTCGGGGTAAATGTTGGATGTGAAAGTTGGATGTGGGCTCCAAACTCTTTGCTCCTCAGGAAGAAACTCCCTCCCAATTATATTATTCTGTTCCCAGGCTAGGAATTAAGGCAAGAGTGTGTCTCAACCTTCCCTACCCGTTTCAATATAGTTACTTCTCCAGTAACCAATGTGTAGAAGTCACTCAGCTAACTTCTGGATTTCCCTCAAAGGAAGTTGCTCTGTGTTTAGCTATACATTCTGTGCATGTATGGGATGAGGGAAATTCAGGAGCCTCTTATATCTCCATTTGTTCCAGAATCTCTTAGCCTATAGTTCTTAGCCATAATCACCTATGAAACTTAAAAAAATATATAAATTCTGGGCTCACCCCAAACCTTCTAAGTAATAATCTCTGGCAGTGGGTTTCAGTGTATGTACTTTTTAAGACTCTTGGTTATCTTGCTAAGTGGACAGATTTCCAAACCACTGATCTGGGGCTACGTCGTCCTAGTAGTGTGATCTGCTCTGGCCATTCTCATGATGGCAATGGGAGGCACACTTCCTTCTTTGTCACAACTCTCCCGAGTTCTGTGGAATTAGTCCTCTGAGCCTTACTGGATGTTAAGTGCTTTCCAGGTAACTCAGTCTATAAAGCAAGTGAGCCCCATCTATGAACTAACTACTGAGAGTATTAACAAGAGCTGTTTCTTTCCTACACTGGTGAAAGCAGTGCATGGTCAAAGCAGGGCCTGGTAAGCTAAGCCCTTCCTGATTCTGGCTGATCCGCTTGCTTATCTAATATTTCTAACCCTAATGCAAGGCAGGTAAGTGCCAGTAATCCAAGTGTTTTATTTTGATGTGAATAGATAACAGGTTTAGCACATTAAAATTCCTTAAATCTTCTCTAATAATAACCTCAATAATCCCCAATTATTTTTTTAGGGATCTATGTGCTGAAATTTATTCCTATTCCCTTACTAGAAAACTGAACTTCTATTAGTCATGCCTTCATGAATACATTTTAATAAGGAAAATAAGGGTTTCCAAAAAATAACAAATGAGTTTTTACCTGTGATCCCTCAATTTCATGATGGAAAGCATCTGTAGTTTCTTTGACTAAGGCAGTTAATGCATCATATTCAGGTGATGAATAATTAACTTCTTGCTCTATGTCTATGTTAATTCCATCCATATATTGTGTTTTGGCCAACTTAAGTTTTTCAGCTATCCAGGATGCTCTAAAAGAAGGGTCAACGATGTCCTTCAAGGGCACATCTCCTAGGAAGATATACACATCGTTTGTGCATATATGATTTTCATAATTTAATGACATGTACTTCACAAACCCATCCAAAGAGATCAAAATGTCTTTAAGAAAGCTCATTATTTTGGGATCTAAACCCCCCAATTTAAGTTTTCCAAATGGAGAAATAATATACAAAGATAATAGAAAGGCATTATTCATTAATCTCTAATATAACCATTATGAATCATTAGTAAAAGTTATTACCATATTAAAAAGCAGAAATTGTGGAGTGACTAAAGGTCATCATGCTAATTAAAGCAACATTTTGCCAAAAACCATAGGGGTTTATTGAATTCTTAATCTGTATGTGTGAAATTATAGGCTCTGTGAATTTAGCTGGATCTAAAATTAATTTTAGGATGCTAAAAATACATCGGATAAATATGAAAAGGGAACTTTTGGGGGAAGTCAGGATGTAAGTAAACTTCCCTAACTAACTGGACACATCTGATGAAAACTAACTCACCTTTTAGCACTACTCTCGCTCCTTTTGAATGAGCATAGCACATAAGTTCTGAGTCATATTTTCCAAAAACTGCCACAGTTGTAATCTGTGACCAATCATAAGATTTCCAAGTTTTCTGTCCAACATCAAACACAAAGACCTGCCAAAACAAGAGGGATAAGCACTTAAACAATGAAGCATAAAATAACATTAAACACCGACCCTTTGCCAGGCACTGAAGGGCAGTGAGAATACAACCGTGAACAAGGGATCCCAGTATAACTGCTGGTAAGGGAAATGAGCTAGGCCTGTGTAGGGGCAGGAATGGGCCACAGTGCAGGTTTTCTGATTCAACAGACCGGGTAAAGGAGGAGTCAGAGTCCACAGTGGCTTTTGCAGGTCTTTTATTTAGATTTACCAGGCATATGGCAGGCAGGGGTACTGGGGAGCCAGGAGGCTGGCAGTCCCCCCAGCCCCCAGCAAATCTTCACTCTATCTGGACTCTCTGGCGTTCTCTCTGCTTCTCTGCTTCTCTTCTTCTCTCAGCTTCTACTCATCTTCTTGGCTTCTGCTGGCAACCCCGTGATGCTGCCCTTGTAGTCTCTCAGCCCAGGTGTACCCACTTCAGGTGCCCGCCATCAGGCATGCATTCAGGACCGCAGGGTTCCCTCATCTATCCTAATGGCGGGAGGGCAGAAAAGACTGATACTTTTACCTTACCCTACAGCCTGGAAAGTAGGAAAGGATAGGCCAGAAAGGATAGTGGCAAGGCCAAGGCCTAGAGACAGCATGGTGGTTGTGTAATTAAATACTGAATATAGGGCCTCCCCGGTGGCGCAGCGGTTGAGCGCTGGGTTGCGAAGCTGCCCGCGCCTCTGCGGCGCTGGTTCGATCCCCAGCTGCTTCCCAGCCACCGGAGGAGGGTCCCGCATGGCGCGCAGACCTCTCCTGCAGCCCGCTGCTCCCCTCAGCAGTGTACTTCGGTCCTTCTGCCTGCTCTGCTCCCCGCTCTGGCTCTGGTGAATTCTCTCACCCTCCCGCGCTTCTGACTGTACCCAGTGCATGTATAAACAAACAAAGAAAGAAAGAAAACATGCCTCTATAAAAATAAAAAAAAAATAAAAAATATAAATAAATAAATAAATACTGAATATAGCTGACACCTAGAATTTGGAGGAGACAGCAGTGAAGAAGCAGAGAATGGTAGGCAAGGTTAAATCATGAAAGGCCTTAAGCCCTCTTGAGATATCAGTACCTTATCTGAGGGGAAGTGTTTAAAAGGAAGAAAAGTAAGCATTTTAAGTATGAGTTTATGTAAACATTTCAGAAAAATTCCTTCAACTGAATGGACAATGGATTAAAGAGAGGCAAAAACTGTAGACAGCATATACAATAGGGAAATTGTTGAAAGAATCCAGGCAAGAGATGATGGTGACCTCAACTAAAGTTATGGAAGAACAGAACAGTAAGTGAGATAAATGAACCAATCTGGAAGCTCCTAAGGAGGCCAAATTAACAGGACTTTGTTGCTGAATAAGAAAGGTTAAGAGGAAGGGAAGAGATTATAATATTCAAGATTCTAACTGCTGCAACTGGAGCCACAGATACCTCATTAACTGGGAGTGACTTTTGGTGAACCCAACTTCTTATAAAAGTACTCAAGTACTCAAGTTAAATTCTAAGACAGCTGATGTTATGCTTCCCCAGTATCTTTCCTGCCCACATCCCACCCCCTGAAAATTCTAGAAGCACAGAATTTTTAGTGATTGTTTTTATTTTACTACAAATAAGCCTTAATTCACTGATTCAGCAAATAATTACTGAATTCCAATAAGGTATAGGGAGGGCTTATCCTTAGGCATTAGTGACACAGAGGTTAAAGGAAAGATCAGACACATTTGTTATTTTATTGCACTAGTGTTTAGGGTTACATGGGAATGCTGGGGACATGACAGCATAGGGGAATCTGTTAGGTGGTAGGGCAGAAAAATTTTCCTGAGGACTGCACACTTAAGGGAAGGACTGAAATCTGGGCAAAGACCTTCACAGGAAGGAGGACTATCTATGGACAGAAAAGCATTCTCAGCAAAGAGAACAAAAAAGGGCACAGTCTGAATATATCAAGAGAATTCCAAATATCTGAAACCAAAAGAACAATCTCACCGGTGCACAGAAATCCTGAAAACGTGACGAATCATAAAACTAATAATGTAGGTGGTGGCAAGATCAAGTAAGGGAGATTTTGTAGACCAAGAAGGATTTTGTATTTTATCCTGAGATCAGTGGGAAGCTGGTTTAAACAGGGTAGGGCATAAGCTTTGTGTTTTAAAAAAAGAGGGGTGGGGGAATAAAGAAAGCTCTACCTTGCTGGGCAACTGTGAAGAGAATAGATTGGGTTAAAGTTTAGAGGGTATCTAGCTAAGAAAGTTAAACGAGGGCCTCCCTCGAGGCCCAGGTGTTAAGTCTCAGTGCTATCAAGGCCTGAGTTCAATCCCCCACCAGGGAGCTAATGCACATGGCACAGCAGACCTTTATTACCTGTTGATCCCCTCAGCAGTGTATTTCAGTAAATCCACCTACTGTGCTCCCCCTCTGTCTCTGCTGAATCCTCTCACACCCCCACACCCCCACCTCTGACCTATAGCCCGTTCTTCTATGCAAAAATAAATGTTAAAAAAAAGTTAAACTAGACATTTTGAAATTTTCTCAATGTCCATTTTGTTTACATTTCAGAATTAACTATGCATGGCTTACTTTTCTCCTAAGAAATTGCCAATGAAATACAAACTACAGAATGTGAAATAGAATGGGCCATTGTTTTTAGACTCATATTTCCAAACCTTATCCCCTATTTTAATTCCAATAATTAAGATTTGTTACTAAAAAATACTGAGAGCTGTGACCTAATGACAGTCCTAAGAAATAGCTGGGCAAACCAATTGAAACATAAAAGGATAAAAGCAGGGCCTCCCCGGTGGCACAGCGGTTGAGCGCTGGGTTGCGAAGCTGCCTGCGCCCGAGGCGCCGGTTCGATCCCCGGCTGCTCCCCGGCCACCGGAGGAGGGTCCCACATGGTGTGCAGACCTCTCCTGCTGCCCGCTGCTCCCCTCAGCAGTGTACTTCGGTCCTTCTGCCTGCTCTGCTCCCCACTCTGGCTCTGGTGAATTCTCTCACCCTCCCGTGCTTCTGACTGTACCCAGTGCATGTATAAACAAACAAATAAATAAATAAAGCATGCCTCTATTAAAAAAAAAAAGATTAAAAAAAAAAAGGATAAAAGCAATGTAGTTTAGTCTTTCCATTGATAAATACATAGCAGCCAGTAAAGAAAAACCCCATTTGCCATTACAAATGGACAAAATTTTGCTTCTTTGCATATTTGATTTTCAAATGCAACATATACTGCCTAGCCCATGTTAGCCAAGCTTCCACACTAGGGAAGTTCACGAGAAGCACTTTCCCCACTTTTATTTTTTCTCCTAAACAAGGGATATATGTTTTTATAGGGACTTAATGGCCCCTGCGTCAAAGTTAATCAGCTAGATTATAACTGACAGTTCTCCCTATCTTTACAGAAGAACTGCTCTTTAGACTAAACTTTTTGACCTCTCAGAACATCCAATTGCTGCTGCAGTCATAAACTCTAGGTAGTGAAGGTGGCTTTCATATTACCTCCTAAATAAAGCCTTTTTAACTAAAATTGTCAAAGGCCTTACAAATTGGTAAGTGGGTAGAAGAAAAATTACTGAAAAGATCTATCTTTACCACCCTTTTGGGGTGGTTTTGAGATGCCTACAGGAAAAGACTACTAGCAACAAAGGTAAAAATTCTGCCTTCCAGTATACTATTGGCGTGTTGAGATTCTTTCAAATTAAATCCTTATTCTCTTGAAAACCAATGGGTATTGCTATATAGGGAATTCATCCTAACCCCTTGCTTTTTTTCTTTTCTTTTTTAAAACACCGAGTGTCTCCGAAGACAGAAGGGTAATGAGAGGCGCTTGTGTTTGCATTCAGATTTGGGTTGAATACTTGTCTCCCTCTTTCAGGCAGGCACTAACTGTGTCACTGGGGAAGAGTTACTCCACCTCTCTGAACCCGAGTTTCCTCATGTATAAATGAAGGCGCTCTGTAAATGGAAAGTCCCTCAGCGAGTGGTCAAAGTTGGTCTCAGCCCCCATACCACCTCTTTTAGGGCTCGGTTCTACTCTAACTTCTCTTAAGGCCTTGAGAACCAGAGCCAGGGGAGTAAGGGGAAGGCGCTGACCTCGAAGTCGGGGTAGTGGCTGATCGGACGGCACAGTGAAGGATCCTGACACGGACAGTCCGCCCCGGCCCGGACCGGCAGTGCCAGCAGCAACGTCAATAGCAGCGGAAAGAGCCCTGGGGTGCCGCGCGGCGCAGGGGCCAGGAGGAACCTGCATGGGGGCGGCTTGCGAGACATGTCTGCTGGTCACCTGGCGTGGAGCGGGTTCCTGCGGTGGGCGGTGGGGGGCGGGGCCGTGGGCGGTGGAGGGCGGGGCCAGGGGCGGGGCGGGGCCGGACCAGCCGCGGGGCGGGGACGGGGCAGCCGCCGGGAGGGGCGGGGCCAGCCGCCGGGCGGGGGCGGGGGCGGGGCCAGCCGCGGGACGGGGCGCGAAGCGGGTATATGGGGCAGAAAAGCTGCAAAGGTCATCCCAGCCAATCTCGGGCGGAGAAGGCTGGTTGACTCAATCCAGTAGATTTCACTTATACCACTTATATTCCACCACCCCGAGCACTGTGCACTTCTTTTTGCCTCTGCGTGATGGTTTTTGTTTCCTCTTCGTGGTGTCTGAAGGTGGAGGGAGAACCCAAAATGGAGAAGCAGAGTTTCTTGGAAAGGGTGACTGGGCTACACAGCTGGGATAATAAAAAGATTTTTAAAATAGGGATATTCGTTCTGAGCTAAGATGGTGGTTTCAACACAGTCGGCTAAATTCGATTCCTCCTGTATTTAAACTTCAGTAAAAAACTTAAACCCTCAAGGACAAGGAAATGACAGCAACGTTTTGGAAATTGAACGCGTCAGGGTGATGTATAATGCCCCAAGTCTTAGCAGAGGGGATCCCTGAGAAACGACCCAGCTTAAACCACAGAAACTTCAAAAGGTTCAGGACCTGCGGCAAGAGGTGCCTCGGGAATTCGGAGGAGGGTGGGGAAAGCTGCTGGAGAAGCAATCAGAACTCTAAATCCTTTCTCCAGCCCTGTGTCTGGGCAGCTCGCTCTCCCACCAGGCCAAATTTTGGAGGTTTAATTGTGGAGGGTAAATCCTGTGGTGTGCGTTTTAGTACTATATCTAAAGGGGAAAAAAGTGACTTTGTGCCAGACCGAAGACACTGACATAAGGTTTTTCTTGACAAACCATATCCAGATCACCCTCTAATGAAATTCGAAGTGAAAAGCACCAGCCATCCATTCAGAGATACCTGCCTTTTACTTTTTATCTTATACTTTTAATCATGGACAGCAAACTAGAAAGTGCAATAATATAAAAGAGGCCTAAATAACAAAGAAAGGACTACAAGGATTAGACACTGTAGGGAGAGCGATTGCAAAAAACTCAGTAGTATCCCCAGAAAGGAAGAGAAAAAGAAGCCACAATAAAATTAAAAAAAAAAAAAAAAGGAGGGTGCAAAATGGGGGATTAAAGGAGTGGTTGGAAATTAGAAATAAGATAGCAGGACTGAAAAAAATCAGATCTGAGGAAAGGGAAGAGATCATTGATGAGGTAACTCAGTACAACTCCCTGAAGGCTCAGATACTGGTTAGCAATTTTTTTTCTTATCAACAAAGTATTTTTAAATTAAAGTATGCACTCTTTTTTTTAGACTAAATGCTCATTCAAAGGACTATCATATAGTGTAAACACAACTTGTGTATGCACTAGGAAACAAAAAATTTCGTATGACTTGCTTTATTGCAGTGGTCTGTATTGGAATCCACAGGTTCTCTAAGGCTGCCTATAACTTCTGAAATGTTACAGAATGTTTCAGTCTTACAGTTTGTTTGAATCAGAATCTGAAGAAAGTCTACAACATTAAGACTGAAAAAAAGATTTAAGTAATTCAAGAAAAGCTTCAAGTACTGAAAGACATGAATTTTCAAAATGAAAGGGCAAAGAACAGATCCTAAAAGCTTTCAGGGTAGAAAAAAAATCACAAAGGATCAAGAATCAGAATAACATCAGATTTCTCAGCAGCAGTATCCAAAAGAGCAAAGAAAATATACATTTGAAATTCTAAAAGAACATGATTTCCAATTTTAAGTGGACATTAATATGAAATTATAGGCTTTTAAACCTTGTGGACTTAAAATATATATAGGGAATTTGGGCATTGTATGGGGACTATAACTAAGATTAAAATGCATACATTGTGCAAAAATGAAAAATGATGTAAAAATATATAAAATAAAATAAAAATGTTCACAAAAAATAACTAAAGATTCTTGCCTATTTAAAAAAAAATTTAAAAATCTAGCCTTGTATTAAAGTTCAACTTACAGATTTCAAAAAAAAATATATAGGCATTTAAGTGGACTTAAAATTTTGCCAAAGTATTAGTCAAGAGGGAAGGTCATATAGCATTTCATAATACTTGCATACCATGCACTGTTTCTCAAGAAGTTTCTAAAACAAAAGCAAAGGAATAAACAATGAAAGATTAAAAGGGAACAGGAAACAGGAGATCTAAAATGGGAACGTGAACATGGAATCCCCCCAGCTGCCAAAGATGGTGAATCTCATGGTAACTGCAGAGCTTCAAAGAGCATCTAATCCAGACTAGATTCTATTGGAAAGAGTCTAAATGACACGCAAAGCCATTTATCAGTAGCCAAGTCAAGTTCTCTCCGAAGTGAACAGTTAGTCAAGATGAAAGTCAGAGAGGGCCTCCCCGGGGGCGCAGCGGTTGAGCGCTGGGTTGTGAAGCTGCCCGCAACCTTGGCAGCGCTGGTTAGATCCCCGGCTGCTCCCCGGCTGCTCCCCGGCCACCAGAGGAGGGTCCCACATGGCGCGCAGACCTCTCCTGCCGCCCGCTGCTCCCCTCAGCAGTGTGCTTCGGTCCTTCTGCCTGCTCTGCTCCCCACTCTGGCTCTGGTGAATTCTCTCACCCTCCCGTGCTTCTGACTGTACCCAGTGCTTGTATAAATAAATAAATAAATCTTAAAAAAAAAAAGTCAGAGAAATTATTGTCTAATTAATGTTCAATAATGGTGATAAAGGACTTTGATTGATAAACCTAATAAATATATTCTTAATATGAATGGATTCACTGAGCCTTGTTCTCTATTAAGAACGCCTTTGGTTCTCAGTCAGGCTATTCTGTAGTATAGGAGAGATCATACACCTATCTGCTTTGGGGGTTTGCAATACCTCCTCCAGGTTCAGTAACTCACTAGAAGAACTCAGTTCTCAGCAAATAGTTGTATTCACAGCTAAGATAATAGCGAAAGTATACAAAGCAAACTCAGCAAAAGGGAAAAAATACATGGAGACTGGAGGAAAGTAAGCACAAACTTTCACGAGCTCTCTTCCTATGGACTAACTTAAGACACGTTTATCACTCCAACATGCCTGAAATGTCTGCCCTGGAAACTCAGCACAAACTCAGGGATCAGTGGGAACTCACCAAAATCCAAGTTCCAGGATGTCAGCCAGGGACCAGGCTTGCAAGCAGGCCTCTCCAAAGATAGAACTCTCACACTGTATATCAACTCTTTTGCACACCATCTAAATGAAGAATTCTTACATATTTATATGTGCATCTATTATGTATGCTTGTATATGCATAGACTTTCTGGAAGGATAAAGAAAAGTCCACTAATAAAAGCAGGAGTAGGTACCTGAGAGAGAGTGAGTAGACTTACTTTTCATCATTTTCCCTTTTGTTCCCTTTGAATCTCATATGTATTATTAAAGCAAGGTTGAAAAGCTTATAATTTCCTATTAATTAAGTACATTTATTCTTTATTTTAATTAGGTAATTTTAACTTTTTTTTAAAAAAAGATTTATTTATTTATACAAGCACTGGGTACAGTCAGATGCACGGGAGGGTGAGAGAATTCATCAGAGCCAGAGTAGGGAGCAGAACAGGCAGAAGGACCAAACTACATTGCTGAGGGGAGCAGTGGGCGGCAGGAGAGGTCTGCCACATCATGTGGGACCCTCGCCGGTGGCCGGGGATTGAACCGGTGCTGCAGAGGCTGCGGGCAGCTTTGCAGCCCAGCGCTCAACCGCTGCGCCACCAGGGAAGCCCAAGTATTTTAAACTTTATATTAATTACCTTTTGCCTTTAATTTTATTTTTGTTGCTTCTCCTCTAGATGTGGGCAGAACAAAATACTATGATTTGCCCCAAAGTGGTTCTTACAATGAAAAGCTCCTCCAGGGCACATACAGTTCTGTCTGGGACTTGCAGCTAGAGAACTTTGACATTCAAAGCTCCAAGCAGTATTTTCTATAGTGTTTAATTACTATGTTGTGAATAAAACCACTTGAATACTTCTAATAAAATTGCTTTGAACCCGTAAGTAGCCAAATTATTAACAGTTACATAAAAACCATATGAGACTGCTCAGATTGTTTCATGTGGTCTGTTGTGTCATCTTCCAATTTCTTGAACTCTAGTCTTTACCTCTTTTAATCCCTCCAGAAATATGTTTTTCAAACTGTCTTCTTGATAAAAATCACATGCAAAGCTCAATTACAGAGTCCTGGACCCCGTCCCACAGATTCTGATTCACAGAATCTGGATGGAGTCTGTGAATGTGAATTTGGAACAAAAGCCTCAGGTGACTGCAGGTGGTTGTGGCATATAATTTGAGACACAGTGCCATAATTAGAGCTTTGTAATCTTTGTAAAGTACAGGTGTTTTTTGTTTTTTGTTCTTTTTTTTTAAATCTCACTGCCCTTTAAAAAACCTTTCTCCATTTAGTCTGGCAGAGTTTTATGGGAACTGGGAGTTCTTTTTGAGGATCAATAATAGCTATGAACTCTTAAGAGGAGTGCATATCCATGTTTATTCTGTGAACAGTTTTGAAATTCACAGAGGACTACTGGGGTACTTGATCTTATATATAAGACTAAGAAGTAATTATTCACAGATGCATCCTTCAACTTCATTATATTTCTTTTGCTTGACACAGTTCACCCAGGCTCCATTTTTTCTGAAACGTCCTAGGTCTAATTATCCAAACTTCCTAGGTCTAACTATCCAAACTGGTCCTGAGCCTCCCAACCATTTACGAGCCTTTTCTACATGGTGCCCTTTATGTATTGGAAGACGGACAGCCAATATCTCCTCCTCCTCTGCATCTCAAATCATTCCCTTTCTAGACTAAATCAAATTTTCCTCATATAACAGTTTCTTGACTTTTTAGCATCTCACCCACTGTCCTTTTTGATGAGCTTTAAGGACGTGGTGCAACGCTAATTCACACGTTCCAGGAAAGGCATCATCTAGC